CCAGGGCCATCTCGTGCCATGGTCTCCCTGATGTACAAACTGATAGAAGTGCCGGCCAAGCACTCTGGGAGTTACACTTCCCAGCTTGTGAGCTCTAAGGGTCCAAGAGCTTTTTTATTTCGTTAAATTTTTTTATTGGGTTAACAGGGACAATAGGTGCATTTCCGGCAGTGGCAAAAGCGTTAACTAGTCTACTCGTGGACTAAGTGGCCTGAATTCAAATATGAATTGCAGAATATTTATTCCCTTAGATGCAATAGGCCATTTAGTTCCAATAAGCTCTTAATGCTGGGGGGCGGAGGGCTTTTTGTAAAAAGAGCCCTTCAGTCCTCCATATCTATCTGCCCATGACATCACCCTCTGCTGTGTAATTGGACCTGCAGCCGCCCAGGTTTCCAGTCACTGGGCTGAGCTCAGCCACGAAACCCAAAGAGAAGTGACTGAGGCTTTGAACACCAGGGCTTAGCCACCATGAACTCAGCTCCTCTCCAACCCCACTGTGGTCGCAGCCCACCTAGGGGCTCCTTAGGCTATGGAGCTGCCAGGGGAGGATCTAAGAGCCCCCAACCAGCGCCCTGCTTTTCAATAGATAATGCTTTTTATCAATATGAAAGACTAATCTCAACAGCCATTGCACCACAGCAGAGAAGTAGTTACAAAATATGGACATTCCATATTTAAAAATCACTCTGGGTTCCTTATTTGTGAGTGATCATAGTGATCCACGATAACTCTATGAGGTCAACTTGCCACAAATCGTGGACCTCCATTTTGAAACTAACGTGATTCCATCGTCAATTACTAAAATTACGTCTCTACAAAGATATCAGTTATTGCTCAGAAATGCTTTTACGGCCAACATGGCTACATTGGAATATCTGGGGAAACATTGTTTTTGCCAATGGATGCTTTGGAGATCACACTTCGCCCTGAGCAGGTTCACGCCATGCGCAATGCGGCAGCTTGGCCAAAGGTTTTAATATTTCACAATGTGTTCGTGAGTAAATAGGCAATAGGATTTGAGTGCTACATCCTCAAGTACTGTTCAAAGTCTCTGAGAGAAAATAGCATTCTTTTTTTTTCTGCAAAAATTTTCTTTTGATTCATGTTTCAGTTCAGTACTTTTGAAGTAGAGGGGAAAATGTTGCTATAGAATATTGGTTTGTAGGCAAAATATATATATATCCACAACACAAGAGAGCAAAATATTTACCCTTTTCCTATTCTGTCAAGTAGGAAACGCAAGAGCTGTTTGAACATACACATGCTTCACATTTCTGAAATGTCTAATGGGTTTTTTTAATCCAAGCCCTCACCAGGTTACCTAATAATACAACCTACCCCCCAAAGCATCCATATTGTGACATAAAATAATGCAAATTCACCTTTCAAATTATTGGGTGTGGGAGGAACCTTTCTTGAGTTGTTACAAGAATTCACTAAAAATTACAAAACAGTTTAAAATATTTAACATTCCATCTCATACACAAGGCCCAATAAACCATAAATCGCAGAAATTAGTCAACATCACCCACCAACAACCTAGATTAAACAACCAAGTACATCCTACGCACATAGAATACACCCCACCCCCACCCCAAACCCCAACCCTCAAAAAACACCTGTTTGTCTCCCAGGTACCTCTGACCACAGACAAACCGCAGAACACTACTCTATGCTATAAAGTGCCTTTAGGGACACGCAGCAAAGCTGAGACATCCAGGAACCACATACATGGGGTGGGGATTGAGGGACTCTCGATCCAAGCAGTGGGATCTTATCTGCCGCTATTCACCTCTGGAAATCTCCAGAGGAAATGGGCCTTCCTCTGGACTTCTCAGCTCCGCGGGACCTCAGCCAGGACCCCAGGGGACGACCGCTCAGACATGGAGTGATTAGGCAGAAGGGGGCACAGACAGCCAACCCAAGGTCTCGGGGAAGCGAAAAAGGTCTGGCCTGGGCCCACCCAGCTGCCCGAGGGGGTGGGCGCCTCGAACTTCTCCGTGTCGGTGCTCTGGGAGCGAAAAGGGGGCGACTCTTACCCGGAGGCTGCAGAGCTGGAGGCGGGGGTCGGCCCGGGAGGCTGCAGTAATCCATTTGGCGCTGCCGGGCTATGCGCACCCTGGGCAGCATGGACACGCTCAAGTCGGAGACGGAGCCGTGTAGGAACCGCGGGGCGGCACCCCCCGGAGCAGGCCGGCTGCTCCAGGCGGGCGGTGTCGGCGCCGGAGGGGGCTTCGGCGCCTGGGGCTCCTTCCGGACTCTCCCGCCCCCGGGCTCCCCACCGGTTCCGGAGGCCGCTGCGGCGAGGTCGGAGCCAAGCGGTGGTGGGGCCAAGTTGGGCAACGGGTGGGAGCCGAGGCCGCTGCGGATCCCGCACTCCCGCAGCCGGCGACTGTAGCCCACCTCTGCAGAGACAAAGGTTAGAAAAAGAGGGGGTGAGGCTCCAGGAAGGCAGAATGCGGGGGGAAATTCGCCTGGGAAATCAGGAAAAAGGCCGTGAAGGCGAGCGGCGCCTGCACATGACCAGCCTCAGCCAATGACGACCGCAAATAGGTCATAAAAAGGTCTATTACCAAGTTGTAAATTTTCTTCAAACAAAAAGGAATTTACTGCAATTCCTTGCGGATTTTGCACGTACAGCTTGCAAGCGCCATGTTTTTTTCCTTTCTTTTCTCTCTCCTCTCGCCCACTTTCTCCCTCCTCCACCCCACTTTTTCTCTCCCTCCCTCACCCCACTTTCTCTCTCCCCTTCTCCCTCATTCCATCCCTCCCTCTCTCCCTCTCTTTCATCTTCCTCCCTCCCTCCTGTCTTTTTTTCTCTAGGTCCCTTTCCTCTGCTCGCTCTGCCTCTCTTGCTTCCATGGTTTCTGACTCACCTTTTCTAGGATTTTTTTTTTTTTTCCGTTTTGGCTTGCCTCTAAATATCTGCTCAATTTAGTTCTGTATTGGAGGGGAAATGAGTGAGGCGTACTGCCCAGGGGCTTAGATTGATGATCCCAAATTGCAGTTACCTCCCTCCAACTCCTTTTTCAGGGATTTGGGGGGGCAGCGGGGACACTCCATTTCTCCTCCCCTCCCCTCCCGAAAAAGCCCAGTCCGAAAGGCATTCAAGCACTTCCGAGTTTTGCCTCTCTCATCTTCTGGCAAGCGGGCGCCAGTGATCTTGCGCAGAAAACCTGGGATCTGTAGGCCAAAAAATCGTGCTCTCCTCCCTAACCCCTCTCCAACATAAATTGGGGTCCCTCCCATTTCTTGGGGTTTCTGTGGTAGGAGAGTCACCAACCAGCTCAAAGGCTGGAAATGGTTTGATACTTGTCAACTGCAAAATAACAGTTTGACCTCCCAGTGCCTGGCCTTTAGACAGAAATATCCTCCTGCTCAGTCCTGGATTAGGGCAGAAGCAATCTTTCCGGGTCCCCTCTGAAACCCCCTGTGTGAAGTCTGCCCTAAGTGCAATTCTCATTTCTATGTAATTTAATTTCGGTTTCTCTCTTCCCTTGCCCCACAAATGCTTGCCCACTGAAAAGCCTGCTCAAGAGAGGCTTTGGTTTTGTTGTTGTTGTTTGTGTTTTTTTCAGGGAAAGAGCAAGTCCCCAGTTCCAGCCTTGAAAAAGAGTCATTTTTCTTCAAAGGCAGGATTCACATTCCCTTTGCAGTTTTGATAGGAGCTGCTCCACTGAACCTCAGCTAAGAGTAAATGTCCTTGGCTAGTTCTAGCATTCTCATCATTAATGCACGGGCATGGCCATCCAAGCTTTAGAACCTGCCTGAAAGAGGTAGCTCCTTCCCCTCATCCTTTCAAATACACTGTCTTTGGACTTCTAGTAATGTTTGTAAATATTTGCACTGGATGTCTATGTGTAAGCTCTCTGCAATTAACATCCTCACACCCAGTAAGTACCTAAGTGGATGTGCACCTAAGCAGGAAGTACACAGCACCCTCTGGAGCAGGCCATTTGTATTTCTTGAAAAAGTTCTGATGACCTTGGATATTTCTGATTTAAGAACTTCTGTTGCCATCTGTCAGCAGAAGTCATATTCATGTTCTTTCCAGAATATGACTGGCAGCTGCCAGGGTCCTTTAAAATGTTCTCTCCCCTCCCCTGTCTACTCCCAGATGCCCAAGGATTTAACAAACACCAGGGAAGCAGAGGACACAAGTTTGGATGTGAAATAGCAATACATTCTCCACTGAAGAATAATAAAACAATGTTTTTAATTATACAAGAAAATGGAGCAAGTTGTTGGGCCCTCCCAAACTAGAACATTTTACACTGGTTTATTCACGTGGAACTGAACAGATTGTTCAATTCTAAAATTTTCTGAGAAATCATCTCAATTGTTAATATTTCTCCCCAGCCCCTACTCACATAAGAGCAGAGCTTTATGACTCTCCTTTTTCAACTTGGGGAAGAAGGGCTGGGAAAAGGCTCTCTGCACTGAAAAGGCAGCCATATTTGCACGCTTTCCCCCAGTGCAGAGATAAGAGATGTGCTAGGCTTTGTGGAACGTCACAAAAAGGCAATCCCTGAACTAACTTTTCTCTAGGAACTACTGAAACCCACATCTTCCTTTGTTTCTGGTCCTTGCAAACAGAGAAACTAAATCACTTAAAAGGCTCGGTTCTTTCATTGAATGTTAACATTAGCGGTCTTTTCTCTAAACCATTTATAGACCTCTCTAAGCAGATTCCCTAAGCAGTCCAGGGGAGAGAAGCAGTTGTCTGGGTGTGAAGAGGGTTCTCTGAAGGTTTATGCAAATTCTGCAGCAAAAATATTTGCCGCAACCCAGCAACTCTTGGATGTTAACAGATATGAGCCAATTAGAAGGGCATCTTCTGCGCTAGTCACTTCGACTCTGTCTGCATGAAACACCATGCTGGGCAGTTTGTAGCCACTGTAGGAAAGAAGGTGGTGAGTGTGTGTGATGTGTAATTCCGCAAGCTCTTTATTTGGAGACAAATCTATGCTTTTCCCAGCTACAAAAAGAAACATATATACCGACACTGATTTATTAACCAACACTTTCTGCACATGTGTAGTCTATGTATCTGTACAAATCCAGGAGATACCAAAAATTATCAAGTTTGTATATGCACAAATATTCTCAAATATACCAGTAATTGCAAAATAATCTTTTTCTTACATGAGCTATGATTTTACCATGTGGTTAGGGGGACAATGGGGCCAGAAGGTATGGCACTTCCAGAGCAGCACAGAATGAAGACGAAATAAGGACATTTTTACCACCCCTTCTTTCTTGATTTCTACACCCATCCACATACCAGGTTCCCCACCTGATAGATTCTTACCCAAATCAGGGGCTCTAAACGTATTATTTGGGGAATATCCTTGAGTCACAGAAAGCAAATTTTGCTAATAGACAAAGAAGTCCCTTAAATGGAGGGCAGCTGGAGTTTAGCCAATACCACTCTTTGGCCAACTTATCCCTACCCCAGACTGTTCCCTAGTCACATTTTCAGGCGCTTGGCATCCTTGCTCTGTATCAGCCAACAGTAGTAGGAGGCTCACAGAGCAAAATGTTTCCAAATCCAGCATGCACATTTGCAGCTGTCTCCTCTCCTGCAAGTGTTTCTTAAGCCCTGAGCCACCCGTGACTTAAAATTGTCTTTCCTGGCTCAGGTCAGAAAAATGCCACAGCCACGGTCTCTTCCCTGGATAGAAAGTCAGGTGGTGCTTTGTCCCTGGCCCTGATGAGGAACATTTCCCTGGTCCTTGAAAGGACAAACAGCCCACCAACGCCTGAATGGTCCAGGCCTAAAACTATAGGATTCCATTTCCTTACCTGTGCAATAGATTCCACTCTGGAAATTAAAATGCACCTTTTTAAAAAATAAAGGAATCTAGAAAAAGCAGAGAGCTCTTCAATGTCTACCTGACCAAGGTGCTTTCCCTTTTGAGGAGAAAAATGTTTACTCGAAAATCTCCTTTCCTGCTCCTCTTCCCCCTCCCCTTCTCTCATAAAATGGCAGCTGCAGAAGCAGCTTCAAATGGAAAACGGATATCTTGTTAATAACAGATCCCAAACCCCAGCATCAGTGCAGGCTCAGCGGGATAAGCTGTGGTGTAACCTGGACTCTGGGTCGTCCCCCACTGGGCCTACAACTCGAGTCTTTTGTGAAGTTCAAAGCTTTCACTGTATCTCAGCAAAGTTATTTAGAACAAGATGAAGCTTTGGTAGCCATAGCCAGCCCTCTCTGGAAAGAAAAAGAGCCCCTGCAACGTATTAATTTTTATAGCATGGGTGCATGTAACCCCCACCTCTTTTTTTTTTTTAATCAAATAGGAGCTTTAGGGGGACATTACCTTCATGAGGGCAAAAACAATTGTTCCTGATTTAGGAAAAAGGCTATTTGCGGCGCTCAAAGACACTAGCTCTAGAAAAAGATTCATTTCTTTATTAAGGAGCTAGCTATGTTCTGGAGCGGTTGTTTACAATCAAGATTTTTCTGCATTTGCTCTCAGGGCTTGTTTTAAATAGGTGAGGCCATCCTGGAGAACAACAGAGGACGTACCAACCGACATCTGAGATGCACACAGTAAGTTGGCTCAAAATGGGTGTGCAAACAGAGCGAAGAGAATACAAATAAATATGGCACCTACTCAAAAAATGGAATCACAGCGGCAGCCACAGCATTGAGACCTAGCAATTTCAGTTGATACCAAACGCTGTTCAAAATGAAAGCAAGTTTTGAAAGCAGAGGCATTCCACAAAGCGACTTGCCAGAGTAAAAAGATAACAAATGAAAATGTTATAATTGGCTTTTCAAGTATTCATTCACTCTTGATCACTAAATTGCCATAATTTGTATAGACTGTAGAAAAATTATTAAATGTCAACTTTGACATTGCCCTGAAACTTTTGTCACTGGCCCAACATTTCCCCCAAGTTTAAGGAAGCTGTAGAGCCAGGACTACACATTATACTCTTCAGTTAAATGTGCTTTTCAAATATTTGGCCCAGACTTTTCCCAGAGATACTACAAAATAAAGAAACCTCTTAGGAGTAAACAAAAGGCACCTGAACCATTATTATAAAAGCAGAAAGAAAAATACATAAATAATGCATTTTAATCAAATAAAATAAAGTAAATATTCTGCAGGCATAATTTTTAAAATTAATAAACTTCTTTTAATTTACTCACCATAAAGAAATGATTTAAAATGTTCAAGTGCACTTGTTTGATTAATAAAGCATTTTATATTCAATTCTTTAGTGCTAATCATTAGGAAGTTTACGTTGTTGAGGCAAATCACCAGCTCAGACTCAGACATTAAAAACTATCATTATAAAAATTTCTATATAAAGTCAGTATCAAATTACCCTTACATAGGACAGCTCAAGGACTGTTTCTACGTGATAAAAGACTTTTGTAACACCCAAATCCCTCTCAAAGCGCAGAAGCCTCAAGTGCAGTGACATGAAGGTAGCTTGAAATACAGGTAAAGTCCTTCCAATAAAGAAAATAGGTGGTGTCCACCAGCATATGTTGATGATTAGATTTAATAGTCTGTGGTAAAATTTTAAAGGTAGAATTAATTCGTCAGGCCTTCAGTTCTGTCTTCCTCCAGCTCTTGGGCTTCCTTTTTCGTTTCCCCGTCCTTCACCTCCTGTCGGGAAACCGGGAATTTGTCCTTGTTGTTCTCCTTTTTCCATTTCATTCTCCTGTTCTGGAACCAGATTTTTACCTGTCTCTCGGTGAGAGCTAGGGCGTGGGAAACCTCGATTCTTCTCTTTCTGGTCAGATAAGGGTTAAAAAGGAATTCCTTTTCCAGCTCTAGGGTTTGGAAACGACTGTAGGTTTGCCTTCCTCTTCTTCGACCAGGAGCTGCTGATTAATACAAACAAACAAACAAAATAAACGTTTTAAAAAGTGTGATGGTGCCGGTGCCTCTGCAGATTGCTGGAGGTTTCTAGAGTGGGTCTAAAGGATGAAATATACACAATTCTCATATATATGATGGGCAGGCAAGAGAGAGAGAGAGGTCTTCACAATTATTCTGTCCCCATCATTTTTTCGTGATTTCTACTTTAAGGGGAAAAGTCTTTATTACTTTATGAATAAGAGCCACTGTAGCTACAGAAAAAGGAAAAAAAGAGGGACAGGAAAAGGGAGTCTTAAAGCTCGAACGTGAGATGAAAGCAGATTTCTCCCACTCTCCCCGCTTAAAAAAAAATGCATCCCAACCTTGTGGTCTCATCCAGGGAAACATTTGAGAAGGAGACGAGCTCTGATTTAAGTGGTCTGGGTCCTCGCCAATATTACCACTGGACGATTTACAGTCAGGATATTGTACCAGCTCGGCCTCTTGCTGGGTCGTAAAAATCGGCTGTCTCTGTAAGTTATCGTATCCGTAAAACTTCGTGGGCTCCCCGTGACAGGCAATCCCGCCGCAGGGGGGAGGCTGCGGAGGAGGCGGAGGATGCGGAGGAGGAGGGGGTACGAGCTGGTAGGCTGCGGCCGGGCTGCCCCCGCCGGGGTGGAAGTAGTCCTGGCCAGGGCTCGGGCCGCCCCCACCACCGCAACCCGGCCCGGCGGGTGGCGGCGAAGGGTGCGGGTGCGCGTGCGCCAGCGGGGGCGCGTGCGGGAAGCCGGCGGTGCTGTTGCCATAGAGCTGCAAGGCAGCGGCGTGGCGGCCGCCGACCTCAGTCGCGAAGTGACAGTCGTAGTAAGTGGGATTGATGGCCTCACCCGCCGCCTTGTACTTGGAGTACAGCGGGTTCACGAAGTACGAGCTCATCGGGGCGGCGGCCCCGGGCGGCGCGGAGCAGGCAACGAGGGCGCCTCAACGCTGCTGCACTGCCGCAGGGGCCTCTGGGGCGGCTGCTCGCGCCGCTGGAGCCGCCGAGTTACGTTGCTGTTGCCGCCCGCCCGCGCGTCGCTTCTGAGGCTCGGATGCCGCGGGCGCTCAGCTACTGGGCATTCATGCCCAGCTCAGGCCCCCGCCACCTCGGCCTCGCACCGCCTCCCTTGCGGGTCGCAGGGCCTCACCCAGCCCCCCGCTCTCACCGCCCGCCCGGCCTCTCCCAGCGCGCGCCGGCTCGGCCGCAATATAATCGCCGACGCCCTGGGTGACCTGCCCTTCTGCCTCCACTGTTTCCTTTCAGGCACCAGGCGGCCCTCTGCTCACTGGGACAAGAAAAAAAGTGCGCCCGGCCCACGGGGACACTATTTGGCTTCGGTTTACAAACCCTCCGCTCTGGAGGGAAAAGAAAAAAACACCCTCTGCCTGCCACCACCTCTCACCTTGCCCCCCCGGGCGTCCCCCTCCCACCGCTCTCGCCGCCGCCGCCGCCGCCGAGGCTGCCACCCCGGTGCGCCCCGGCGAGGCATTTTCGCACCACGCCACTGCGCAGAGAGGGAGCGAGATGGAGGCGAGATAAGCGCGCGGAGGGATCCGCGCGGAGGCGACACTACTGTTCTAGACAGGACGCCTCACGCTGGCCGAGAGATGCCTCCGCCAGCCTTAAAGGGGGCCCATAAAGCCGCACTGCCAAGGGCTTGCGGTGGCCCTTAGGGCCGAGGGAATGTGGGCTGAGGCCAGCGGGGCTGGGTCGCTGCAGAACCTTACACTTGGAGCGGGGGGCGGGGGTGCAAGACAGGCCACTCCCAAGAGGCTGCAGAACAAACGACTCTCCCGGCCCTCGGAGCAGCCCCGCAGAAGTTGGCTGTGGCTTTTGCATTTCTGGATACGCGGGCGCAGCCCGCGAAACATGGGCGAACACGGTATAGTCGGACCGGACCGTACTTTCTTAGGTCCTATCCAAGTAGTTTGGTTAAAGGCCACATGGGTGACCCCAAAACTTGGCATTATCAAAGCAAATCTAAGCCTTTCTTTTCCAGCCGAGCGGGCCTTGTGGAAATGAAATATACATTTACCCTTGACGCATTGCACGCTTGACTGAGGCTCCCAGGTTAATTGATATTTAATGGAAATCATGCCCATGAATACAGTTTCCATCATTTCACCCTTGATAGACGTCAGCACCAAGCGCAGGGGGGAAGCTGAAGAATGTAGGCAAAGGGGCATTAAAGCGGCCAGAAATGTTCCAAGGCGGGAAAGAGGGCTTACGCTGCGGTGCGTGGTATTTCCTTGGGCAGGACGCACGGCTCCCGGGTTTCAGCTCCGGTGTGGAGCGGACCAGGGCAGGCGGGGGCCCGGGCGGAGTACTGGGGGCCGACGCCTCTGAGTTCCCACCCACCATCCCGTCGAGACTCCGGGCCAGCGTTCGGGTCATGCTGGTTCCAGGCAGCTACAGGCGGCGCCCATCTACTAAAGATTCCAGTTCATTCACCAAGCCTGTGTAATTACCGCCGAGAGCGGGCGCCGTGCTCAGCTTTAAAAGTTACTAATTTCTCCAAAAGAAAAGAAAGAAGGCTCATCCTAGCTTGTGAGAGATGAGGAAGGGAAACGTCCCGAGTCATGTGGGCAAGTCAAATATGAATCGAAAAATGTGAAGTTCGCTCTAAAGTTGCTCGGCGTTGCACCACCAACTTCCTTCTTTCCTCAACATCCGCCCCCCCTTTTACTCCCGTTTTAATGCCCAATTAATGTGATAGGTCTCTGTTAAGTGAGTTTACCCTCGCCTGTTTGTCCTTTTTCGTGGGTTCTTTGGGTGACCAAACCCCCTTCCATACGGGATAATCCATTGTTGTAAGGGCACCAGGCCCATCAGCTTTGGGAACCAACCTGGAAAACTCGCCTTGAGCGCATAGAGGATCTTCCCGCTAATGCTGAAACACGCCATGCCAGCTTTTCACGCCAAATGCAAATCTCTAAAAAACCCAGATGGCCCCCAAAGGCTCAGCAGGCTAGTGATTTCAACTACCCCCTACTCCGTATGGGTTACCTCAGCCTGTGTGTGGCATCCTGAGGTCAGTCCTCATGGACTGAATATCATATTTTGCAAATAGAGAAAATAAAGTCTAGATGGAAAGGCATAACAAGATAATGTCTGAGACTCGATTGTTTTTGCAGGGAATGGCTGGAAATGGTTAAGGTAAACGTATTGCTAATAAATCTCCAGATGATAAAGTAATGCTTTAGTTTTTAAATTAGTAGAGTGCAGGCGACTTTTATTGGGGAGGGAGTGTTGTAGAGTAGGGGCTTGTGTTTGTTTTCTGTCGGTTATCGCCAGGTAAAACTTCCTTTAAATCCTAAAGCAAACAAACGGATTTCGAGAGTTAACAATTTGCATTTCAATCTTTCAAGTAGCCAATTAAAAGCATTATTTTCAACAAAGCCTTGGAACTAACTTTGTGATTGTGCCTTTTAAATTTCACTGTTTGGCGTGCGTGCCTTTGTGTGTTTAAATAACTCGATAAAAGACTGGGTTTTGGAATGGAGTGGGGAAAAAGAAGAGCGAGCCCAGATCTCAATAATGCGCAAGGCATCTTCTAGAACTATGTGATTCCTGGGGGTGAAAAAGAAACGCAAATACTACAAAATTCATTTCTACACATTCTGGCCTAATTAAGAAAACATTACAGCACAACATTTTCTCTTGGGGAAAAAACCAGTTTTTCTTTCAAGCATTTTGTTTATAATCTGAATGGAAAAGGAACATGATTAACTTCGTAAATGAAGATCTATGTTTTTACACGCTTCTGTTTTGATAGAATGCATTAACTCACCATAACGTTTACAGTTTCAGCTGTGCCATAGTCCAAATTTCCTGAAATCCTGACTAAGCCAAAATTTTATCCCTAACAACACGGCTTCAGACTTTAGTAGTGCACATTGCTTCTTTTTTGTTAAATTTATCCTAATTTGGAGTTAAAAATAAGATTGTAAATATTTTAATCAAAACCTTCCTTAACCGCAATTTGTTTTACGAGATCGCAAAGTGGAGCAACGGCGCTCTCTAGTGGCCAAATGCCACCTCGAGCCGACCGAATTTAAATTTCCTGTTTTCGGCTTGGATCGCTGAGGCTAATAATGCTTCATCCTTTTGATTGTCAACAAATCAAGTGCAGCAAAGGGGGCTCCTAAATGCCAAACATTTTTATATTCCCAAGAGCTTCCAGTAGTGCCTTTTAAGAAGTTCCCAGCCCTTCTTTTGCCAGACATTGTAGGTCCTCATTCTGTAATCACTCACAATTATAGGATGGGTTACATTCAACAAAAATCCCAACTTTCTAAATATCTGCTGCAACAGGACTTTTTTTTTTCAGAGAAGCCAGGTACTTCAAAAACTAAGAAAATATAGAAGTTAATATTGTTATTTTTAAAGCTGTCACCCTTAGCATTAAGTTATGAGCATTTGCTATTTTAATTTTGTCGTTTAATGCTTCAGGCCCATTTTGCTGGTCAATGGGAGAGGGAGAACCAGATTTAAAACTTTTTTCTAGATCTGAGTTGTTGTCTGTAAAGGCCTTGGTGGGCCTGTGTTCACTGGAATGTGTGTGTACAATAAATTAGACTTTTTAATTTATATCAAAAGTCACAGAATAAAATGAATCAAGCATTCCACTGAAAAATTTTTTTTTAAGGAAAGACTTTATTCAGTTTAGGTGTTTCCTGCGAGGTTAATCTTTTTTTTCTCATTTTCCAAAAACACTTTCCTCCAACTCAGCAATAACTGCTATATTTTCTATGAGCAAATAGAGATGATTTCCAACAATATTTTTGCTGCGAAGTTTAGAGTGGAGGGCCAGATATTTCTGTAAAATGGCAAACAAGCAACTTCATTTTATTTCCCCAACGACCATAGGGCTGTGAAACCCTGGGCCTGAGTAAATGAATGACCCAAGATCACTAACTCTCCCACCCTTGAAAAAAAGATCGCTTTAAAAACAAACAAAAAAGAACAAGGTAGACCGCGGCCATAGTCAAATATTATAAAGAGCCACCCACTGTAGTCTAATTCTAATACACAGACCATTTTAAAAATCAGAAATACACCATCTTCTCCTTCCTACCCCCACACACCCATTTTTATTTCCTAGGTGCTCACACCTCACTGGGGGCTTCCCAGTCCCTGCTTTCTTCGTCCAGTGGAGTCTTGTTTATATTTTATTGTCCAGATTTTAAGACCCAGTTTTTGTCTGCATTTTTCCTTTCCTCCTACAAACACAAACATCAAAATGAGACGGTTTCAAAGCGAAGCGCCGGGCTTGTCGTAAACTCATTACCTCCAGACGTCTCGCCGGCTGGATGACTTTATGACACCTTGGCTCTTCCTGTTTTCAAAGAGCCCTAGGTATCGAGTTGGCCGTAGGGGCGGGGGTATGCAGCACCTTCTGCCGGATCTGGGCCTTGGCTTTCCCTCCCAGCCCCCCCCCCCTCTCCTTTTCCTTCAAGTCCCTTCTTTCATCAGGAACCCCCCAAACTCTGACATGCCCCCACCTTCCGCCCACCCCAGGCCGCCCGGCGCCGAAGCCTCTCGGGCCTGCAAAAGCTGTGCTGGGCCCGAACCCTCACTTACAATGACCTTCATTTTAGCCTCTGAATGAGCCCCTGAGAGGGCCAAGCTGGGAGCTACATGCACACAGAAACTGGGTTGGGGGAGGGGGCGATGGGGTAGAGGTAGCTGCCGAAGAGAGCCTTGACCATTTTGATCCGCTAAGGTCACTCTGGGGCTCCAGTGGGGAGGAGCAGAGGCTCACAGCCTGACCCGCTCAGCCCTCCCAGAGCCAGCCAGCCCTGCCGAGCTGGAGTAGGTGCTGCAGAGTGCAGAGGTGGCCTTTCTCTTGTTTGGGGGTACAGGGGGTGTCAATGGCTGGGACTCCAAGAACAAAGGGAGAGGTGGGGTACCGTGTGCCAAAGCCCCAGCAAGAGGGTTGCGAGGCTTCTGGGGCCCTTCAACTCCTTTGGGCACTGATTGGAGGCTGACACTGAGTCCTGGGCACAGAGTTCGCCCAGGTGCTGGAAGCAAACTGAGGAAGAGATGAGCCACCAAGGGCCACCCAAGTTCTGTGCTCTAAGCTGGGTCTGCCTACACAAAGGGAGACTCCGAGTCACATCAGAGTGACTTCTCAGGTGCAAGGACCCGATTTTTAGCAGTGTCTCCCTCCTAGGGACAGGAGAGACATCCTGTGAGGGTGGTATTTTGCAGAGACAGAGAAAGCAAGACACAGCGTTCAGGGCCAGTGTCTGGGCTCCATTTGATCAGGTCAGCATTTATTGGTAGGAAGCGGTAACATTTACAACTGGTCCTCAGGCAGGAACCAGGAGCGCCTACGCCTGCGGCTGCCTAAGAGAGCAGAGCCCTCCCAGAGGCAGTGGTTCCTCCAGAGCACTGAGAATACCACCACCACCACCCCGCCACCGCCGCACCCCACTAGAGGACCTGGGCTCCTCTTTCAGCTTCCTTCCAGGTCTCAGTCGAGGGCCTCAAGGCTCCCTGAGGAAAGGGAACTTTCATAACTGTTGGGCCACCCGGCCGGGCTTCTTCTTGCCTCCACACTGTTGTCGCTCTGCCTTTATTCTCAGAAGTGGGGCTCGTGTGGCCCCTGCTTGAGCAGCGCTAGGGGCTAAACTACAGCACTTTTCAGAAACGTGGAGGACATTTACAAAGGAGGAGGCTGCTCAAGCCAGCGTGCACTCACAAAATACAGCATTTCCTAAGGAACCAACCGGGCAGGAAAGGGAGGGTGCAGGGCAGGGCAAAACCCCAAAGCCACTTGGTTTCTCCAACACATAATGAGCAAATACAGAGTACCCCAAATACCTCACAGAGACCAACCACAAAGTCACTTCTACCTAAAAAGGGGGTGAATGTCTGAATCGCTGGAGAGTTTCTGGAAATCAAGCACCCACAAAGAAAAACCCCCCACTGCCTTTGCAAAGCAGAGCGGCCCCACTGGTGCTGTGACGGGTCAGTCTCCTTTGGGGCATTTCTCTTTGCTCATCTTTTTCATTTTCATCCTACGATTCTGAAACCAGATTTTGACTTGTCTCTCTGTGAGGTTTAGAATCCTTGCCACCTCGTAGCGCCGGTCGCGGGTGAGGTACATGTTGAAGAGGAATTCTTTCTCCAGCTCCAGAGTCTGGTATTTGGTGTAGGGACAGCGCTTTTTCCGGGTAGAGCGAGCGTGGATCCAGTTTGCAGCGGGGTTGTCTATGAAGAGGGGGGTTTGGAGAAGGGGAACGAAGGGAGGAGGGAAGGTAGGGAGAAACGCAGGGTGGAGGAGAGAGGTCGTTAAATTAATTTCACCAAGGATGGTCGCTTTTCACAACTTAAGGGAATTATCATAAAAAGCCTTAATGCCCGCGCTCTGTTTACCGTACAAACCGCGCACCCAGGGTAGGTGGTTATGGGAAGCTTTTTTATGGATGCGTGTTGCTCGCCTAGGCTAGGATAGGCGGCTAGACGTTTTTATAGGTTAGTAAAACTATCAGTTTTGCACATTGGAGCCTTACAGGTTTCAGCAATAAATCAGGGGGCAATTTCTTTTGCACTTACTTGGGTCAAGTTGCTGTTGCGGCGGCTGTGGATGCTGCTTCTCCTCCTCCTTTAGCGGGCAGCCCGGGCTCGGGTGGTCGCTGCAAACCGAGGGCTCCGAAGAACCGCCTGCCCCGGCCCCAATCCCTGCCCCGGGCCGGGTTCCCCCAGCTGCTGCCGCCGCCGCCTTGTCCTGTAGGAACGAGTTGCACGAGAACTCGGGGTCGCCGCTCCCCTGGGACTCCCGGGCCGAAGAGCACTCAGTCTGTTTGGAGGTGGAAGACGAAGAAGTGGAGGAGGAGGTGGCGGCGGCGGCAGGGGTCGGGGCCGCTCCGGTTTCAGGCTTAATCCCGTAGTGGCGCCTGTTGGGTGGGCCGCTGGGGCCGGGGCTGGGACCGGGGCCGGGGCCACCGCCGCCGCCGCCGCCGCCGCCCGCGCCACCCGGGAAGCCGGGCAGCGGTTCCATCCAGGAGCGCACGTAGCGTCCGGGCTCGGAGGCGGCGGCGGCCAGGGTTGGCGGGGGCACGTACGGGTGGTAGAGGCCGCTCATCGTAGCCGCCGCTGCCGGGGGCTGGGCAGGCACCGCGGACCACGAGGCGGAGAACACGGCCGATTTGGGGGCAAAACTACACGAGGCAAACTCGGCGGCAGCGGCGGCCGGGCTGTCGGCCACACCTGCGGGCCTGCCCTGAGCGCCGGGCCCCGGCGGCCCGAAGCGCGCGGCGAACACCTCGTCGCCTTCATGGCCTATGAGCGAGTCCACGTAGTAGTTGCTGAGGGTGCCACTGGAGGACATTTTGCGGCGCCGCGCGCTCCCACCCAAGGTTACACTGCCCGCCGCCGCGCCGCTCCCCGCCGGCGCCCTAGCCGCCGACTAGTTCGCAGGCTGCAGCCTCCACCATTGGTCGCGCGGCCCACGTGATCATATTTACCAATACCGGGAGTAAATCAGTCCGCTAAACTGGGGGCTGCTGTGATTAAAAAAAAATCATCATCAACAGAAGCGCAGCAATTAGAGCCCGCGGGTCCGGTCCTGGCGCCGGACTTGGCCCAGCCAAGCTCGGCCAGCCGGGCGGCCGCTGGGAGCACGCGCCCGACTGCAGCCGGAGGAGGCGCTGGGGACTATTTGTTCGCCTCCTCTTGCCGCCCTCGGTGTTTCAGTCCGGTCCCGGCGACGCCTCCCCAGCTCCCGGGCTCCATCGGAGCTACCAGCAGCGCGTCCTGGGCACACCGAGCCCTCGGGCAGAGTCCGGAGCAGCCGTGGGCACTCAGGGCCGGTTCGTCCCCGGGCAGAACGGCCTTCAGCCGCGCCCCCGGCGCCGGAGGGGAGTTCTCCCTGTGCCTCTCTCCCTACCCAAACCCAGCCCCTCCCTACACATACCCACACACACGCTCTCACAGCTTGTCGTGTTGTTTAAAACAGGTGGAAGACCTCTGTAATGATATTATGCCTTTCAATAAAAATTTTATGAGGTGTATTTGATTATAGATTAATGTGTCCCTAATAAAACGGACGGATGGAGCAGCTCGGAGGGCCCCCTCCCCCTGCCACACACACACCTTCGAGCAGCCACACACACCCCCGACGTGAGGCTCAGCACACGCCGTGGCCCGATGGGTAAGCTGGGGTGGCCTGGCCCGCGAGCTGGGCCATGGCCGAGCCTTCTATCTGCCTTCCGAAGGGACGGCAAGGAGACGAATCGGCACCGTGTGCACAGTGGTGGCCAGGGTGCCTTGTCTTCTCCAGGGCTGCCGCAAAGACCCTGGAAGAGAACATGCCATAGGGCAGAACCCAAATGCTAGCGCAAGACCCTCTCCCTCCCGCCACCGCCCGCTGCCCATGCTTCCAGGAGGCCAGCAGAGCCGGCATCTCACGAGGCAGGGCCTCTTTCTCGTGGTTCCCACTCAGAGGCCTCCAAGTGGATGCCTGCCGGAGATAGCTTTAAAATGGTCTGGTCCTTGGGCCATTTATTATTATTATTGTTATTATTATTCTCCTCCTCCTCTTCTTCTTCTTCTTCTTCTTCTTCTTCTTCTTCTTCTTCTTCTTCTTCCCTCTCCTCCTCCTCCCCCTCCTCTTCCTCCTCCTCCTCCTTTCTTGCCTCCAGAGGTAAGGCTGGGTATTCTTGAATCTGAGGGGAATGCCCACTGTCACTCCCAAATCCATAGTACAAAGCCTTGAAAGCCCGGCTGGGAGCCTAAACAAAAAAGCAGCCAGGTAAAGGCGGTGGAGGATATATTCCCTGCTCTACAAGTTGCCCATTGCACCCTTCGAGGGTTCCCAGCCCAACTCGAGGTGGGGGGGATGGTGGGTGGGAGAAATGGCTACTTATGGCCTAATTGATTGTCTTTGCCAATGGTTTTCTGATTTTGTTCCAGAGAAGTTGACTTTGCCTGTGCACAGTTTTCCTCTCAGACATGGCCCCCTGTCAACAACTAACGGTGCTCCCCACATCCTAGGGGAAATGGGAAAGTTAAAACTGCCCTCCTTCTGCCCAACCAATTGAGATGGGGGCAAATTGATTCCAGTGTTTCCAACCTCACATTCATCTGGACTCAGCTCTCTCTCACCCCTAGGAAATAGCTCCCCTAAAAGGGTTCTGTCTTGGAACTGGTGAAGGTTCTTGGTTTTGAGGAGTAAGTTTAAAACTCTGAATAAATACAGAGTCTGCCAAAGACCCCCTGGGTGAGTGCTCTAACGTTTTGAGCCACTAAATTGTTTTTAGGGAAAAAGGAAGGGGGGAATGAAAGAACTTGTTTTTCGAAGCTGCTTGAAGCTGTTGGAGACCCTTGGAAATCACAGCACAACCTGGGGTAACGAATTCTCTGTCAGCAACTCCCCGCAAGGCCTCTCCTTTCTTCTTCCTGGCAGAAGGCTGGACTCTCTTGGGCTGAGCATTCTCCAGAATATATACACTGGCGAAAGCTGGAGTTTTCCAAGCCATGGCAGCAGCTGGAACATTGGGCTTCATGGGAAGTCATGTTCATTTGCAATTTTTTCTTTCAGTCACCTTTTGTACATTTTCTTGCATCTCACATAGTGTCTCCAACCAGTATTTTGTAATTAAATAGAGGGAGGATTTACTGGGGGGAGGGGAACTTTTCTTTCTTTAAAAAAAATTTTCATGTGGGCCACTAAAAGGTAGTGACTGAGCATAAAATCCTTCCACAAGGAAACTAGGACAAAGTGGGATGGGAAAACTCACCCATCCTCCACTTGACTGTGGCCTGGGTGTCTTGCACTTGGGATAGGGGTGAGAATGAGGGAATGGGGTACAGAATTGGATCCGACGCAATGCTAAGATGCTGCTTGTTCTTGCTCCTGCAATGGAGGCCCGGCAGCTTCCAGGTGGGCAAGACTAGTTTTAGCCCAGCCCCTGATGATGGCATGCCAGTCAGAATTGCCAAGCCCCCACTGAAAGCATTAAAAATAACACAACCAAAACCAAAGAGAGAAAGACACAGAATTGGGGAGCTTAGAGAAAAAGCATCTTGGGCACAGGCGTACTTACCAGGCTCGAGCTAGAGGAAACCCACACCCATTGTGAATTCAATTCAGTCACTGCAGGGAGAGGGAGAGAGGATTCTCCTTCTTTCCAACTATGGAAACAGCACACCCAGGCTGGATTATCACTGCCCTCTCCTCCACTGCCAAAATGTAGGACCCTAGGCCTCCTCCAGCTTCTCTCCCCCACATCCTTTTCCTGCTCTCTACATGCCACCCGCAACTGCCCAAACAAGCAGTTTAACAGGGAGATCATCGCACCAAAGGCTTTCATTTCCACCATAACAAAATTCCATTTTAAAAAGCAGAGGGAGCGAACTCATTTCCAGAGTTTATTGCATTATACATGCGACCAGAACATGCACAGAAAGGACAGGTTGCTGTTATACTCTACCAAACCACAGATGCACCACAAGGGAAAGGCTACAAGGCATAAGTCGTCAATGTTCCATCTCATCAAGGACAATTGCTAAATTCATCTGCGAAAAGATACATTGTAATGTGCTTTTTAGTCCCCCTCCCCCCAAAGCTTGTGGGTTTTCTTAATCTTTTTTTAAATATATATGTAATTTAAGTACTTTTAAGTACTGATGTATTCAAAACGCCATGGGCTCATGGACTAACCACACACAGACCTTTTGTGTTAGGAAAAACATGAAAAAGTCACATTGCTGGATGGATGAATGGATTGATGGATGCGCTACAGTTTCAATAAGTTAAGACCCAAATAAAAATGCGCAGTAACTGTTACCCTGCATTACGATGAAAAAATAATAAATTACACGTGCTAGTTTTTTAATATATATATATACTCATAGGGATTACAGATCACTTGCAGCACGAACAGAATGACCCCCAAGTCACATTCTAGCAGGAAAACAAAACAAAACAAAAACAAAGAGCAATGAAGGTTTTGTTTCCGCCTTCCCAGTCCTCCAGCACTCGGCCCTGGAACTCCAAGCCCCCTTTCTGATCCTGGCCTCCCACGGGCTTCGGACCTAAGAGAAGGTGAGGTTGGCGGTCAGTTCTCGGATCCGGTTCTCTCGGCTCATCTTCTTGAGTTTCATTCGGCGGTTTTGAAACCAAATCTTGACCTGCCTGTCGGTGAGGTTAACGCTCTTACTGATCTCTAGGCGGCGCTCGCGGGTGAGGTACATATTGAACAAGAACTCTTTTTCTAATTCCAGCGTTTGGTGCTTAGTGTAAGGGCACCTCTTCTTTCTGCCACTCTTTGCAGTGAGCCAATTGCTGGTTGGAGTATCAGACTTGATTTCCTCTAACAAAATTAAAGGGAGAAGAAGAAACAAATCAAGAATTTTTTTTTCTCTTAGTCTGTTCAAATGTACCCTTGGCCATGACCCCGCTGGCAGCCAGGCCGATTTGGGAAATACTGGCATTAAACATTACTCACATGAAGTGGGCCCTAGAAGGGATTTGTAATTGATGTCAGATTAGTTTAAATGCCCCAAATGACACGATGGGCGGGTACCTTGCCCTCTGTGTCAGGGTTGTCTCTCTCTCAACTTTCTGACTTGCACCAAACAATCACACAATAGTAAACTTTCAGAGTCTTCCCAGCAACATTCTAAGTGATCAGCTCATAACAGGGCTGGGGTGGAAGAAGCAAGCCACAGCCTGGACAAGCCTACCAAGCCCACTGCTGCCTCAGGTCCCCAAGCCTGCCACTTCCTCACTCTCCTAGGCAGGCAGGGAGCCCCACAGCCAGGCTGATAGGTGCTCGTTCTCTGTCAAACCATAACCGAGGAACTGAGAACTCCTTCTCTGCCCTGCCCGGACATTGTTGAATCCCCCAGAATTTCCTGAATTCTCTTGCCTTCTTGCCCCCACACAAAAGCATTGCCCCAGAAATGTATCTCCTTGTTGTGGCCCACCTCTGGGCACTGAAGGAGAGGCTCAGGGGCAGGGTTCCTTCTGAAAAAATCCAGAGCCCCTGGCTTTTTGCCCTAGCCCAGCCCTAAGGCTGGCTCTGCCAGGTGGGCCACACAGATTATGTTCTCTCCCCTTCCGCCTTTGCTCCCTTTGCAAATTAATTGCAAAGCTCACGGCACTTTCCCCAGACAAAGCCAAGGTTACCTTCTAGCTCGAAGAGGCTAGGAGCCCTGTCCTCTCTCGCCCAAGCACCAAACAGCCAAGCCATCTTGTTCCCCTTGCCGCCTCCAAGCTCGCAGGATGCGGGGTGCATACACTCAAATACAAACACGGTGTCTTAGACCACCTTAAAATCTTCACTGGGTGAAAGGCAAAGCTGGGATCACAAATCTGAGCAGGAGAAAGGAGGTTCTGGGGCTCTGTTTATGAGCCGCAGGTCATTTGCGCTCTTTTGTTGTATTTCAGATCTAGCTCAGGAAAAATAAACCCAGCAAGCCCTTCCTCTGTCCAGGCTCCATCAGTGCGGGGCCAGGACTAGCCAGGAGGGCCAGGGCAGCAGGAAAGAAGCAGGGACCATCTTGGAACTGAGACTGCTCCATCTAAGAGCTGGGAGGAGCAGCACCTGCCAGTCGGCCCGCCTGAGCTGCCTGGGCTCTGTGCAGGGCACCCAGGCGCTCCCTCTTTGCCAGGTTCCCAGGCTGCGCGCCCCGCTGGGGTGGCAACTCTGCTCATACCGACCTTTGCTTTCCTTCTCCTGTACTTCAGGACTGGACACGGAGACTTCAGCCAAGCAGCTCCTCTCTTCCGGAAGGCCGCCTTTGGCCTCGGGGCTCTCCACCTGGGAGACTTTGGTGGGCTCCTGGCCATTCGCGGGCTCGTTCATCTTCTTTTCCATCTGCAGCTGGGCGGCGGAAAGCTGAGGCTTGGCCGCGCCGCGAGGGTTGAGCTGGAGCATGACTGTGGAGCTGCCTTCGGGGCTGTTATTGTACTCTTGGGTTTTCCCGGTGGCGTAGGTCTGACTCAGTCTAAAATATCCAGGGACAGGAACCTCGGGGTTCTCAACGGGACAGGACTCAGGGACCAGCCTCTGGTACGAAGGGACCTCAGCAGAAATGAGTTTGTTGCGCTTATCAGAATACATGCAGCAATTGGATTCTTCCTTAATGTTGGTGGTGAAGGAGCAGGTGGGGACTTGCTGTGTAACAGGTTGCTCTATTCGACAAGATCTGTTCGGGTCTGTCCAACTGTCTACTTGAGGTATATAAGGATGCACATTCATACCCATATTTTGGTGGTTCACTTCTCTTTTGGCCAGAGACGGGAGCAGTCCACAGGTTTGCATTCCATAGGTCCCCATGTCTGCGCTAGGTGGTGGCATGTACATGCTGGCGCTGCTCGAATAAAAACTGTCACTCCTGCAGGCACTGATCAAGGAATCTACTAAAAAAGTATTAGCAGCAGGAGAGCTGTTGGGAAAGGACATTTTGGGGAGGAATTTGAAGAAGAGAGATTGTGTCCTTTGTAGGCTGACATCTCTAGGAAAACATTCCCCGTGTAATTGTGGATGCCTCTGCCGACCACATGACAACTAAGCCAATGAGATTTGAAAATGGCCTTGAGCCGCAGCCTCCTCGCAGGTCACGTGCTCCAGAGCAGGGCCAGCGGGCCGCGTAAGCACGGACAACAGCGACATCTACTACGCGCCGGAGATAGTGCGCGCTGGAGATAGCCGGCCCAGCTCTCTGCGCCGCCCGCCAGCCTACCCGGGGCTCGCTCGGCCCGCGGGTCCCTTTCGCGTCCCCCACTCTGGCCTCTGCGCCACGCAGGCGGAAAAAAAGGCTCCGCCGGAGGGACCTTGGGAGGATAAGCGGGGAGGGAAACCGGAGCGCCGTGGCGCCAGCACATAGAAGCATTCCACGCACACACCCAGGCAGAACGCTCCCAGCAGGGCCGGGGCCCAGACAGGGGTGGGGGCCCAGGCTGGTTAATTTTGTCCGGGGCAGCCGGGTAAGGTGAGTTGATTCCCCGGACTCGGAGACATCCCACCCCGGGGATCCATAGGAAAGATCTCTCGCGCAAAGACGCGGCCAAGGTATCCTGGGAAGCAGAGACTTGAAGAGCCGAGAGGGCCAAGAGGCCACACAGCTGGCCGCCCCGGAGCCCCGAGGGCTTGCTCGGCTGCGGTGCTGTCCTCTCCTTCCGCCTGCCTTGCGGGGCTCCAGTACCCTTCGCTCCCTGGAGCCTTGGGTTCTCAAAGGAACCACACCCCGACCTTTGCGGGGCGACGCTGGGTGCTTTCAGATCAGAAACAATCCCTCGCCGGAGTAGTTCGTTATCTGAGAAAGCGTCCCTCGGGTTTCCAGCGGGAGAATGAAACCGAGGTTCCCCTCCCCACACACCCTGGTAATAGATGGCAAAGAAAGAGGAAGAGAGAAAGAAAACAGTTTCTTTGAAAAAAAGGAAAACTCTCGCCCTCAGACTCTTGAAGTTTTAGAAAACTGACTGGGCCAAACAGGAGAGAGAGATGATGCAAAGGTGTCATTTGGTTCTTCTGCAAAGAAAAATGTTTTCCTTTTATGGATTTTGTAAAAGCATTGGTTTCTGACAAGTGCAAGGTACAAAAGGTTGTTGAATTTATTAATACATATTAAGAAGAATCAGGGCGATCAATAAAATTCTCATCTACATTCTCGGGCTATTTGGTAATTTTCTTGCTTCTGAAGGATTTTAAAGAGTTATACCCACGGTTGCCACACACGGGAAGATATTTTATTAACAAATCAATCGTGACTTTGTAAAGGATAAGATTAATAGTTAGGATTTAGCATAATGGCGTTCGCTTTATGAATTATTGAAAATTATACTATTGATTTTTCCCCCTTCGCTACTAACCAAGAAGGTCAATTTTTGTTTTAACACGAATCGTCAAATATTAAAAGCTATAGTTTTGTCAGAAGTCGAATTTTATAGTTTTGGACAATACCTAAAATTATTTGACATGGTTTTGCCTGGGTAAGGGGCGGGAGTAAAAAAAAGGAGGTGGGTGAAGAACCTAAGCCCTCTCTGTTTCTTTTGGTGAGAGAGTGTTCTATAAAGAGGATTTGGTCTGGGATTGCGGTTGAGCTCATTAAAGAACAGCCACCATCACCACCAGGGAAACTCAGAGTTTTATGAGAAAGTTCAACAACTTCCTCCCTCCTTCTCTAGTTGCAGGCGGGTAAGCAGCCCTTTGGAAGCTCCAGCCTCGGGGCAGCAGTGGGGAGCTTTAACCTTGATTTCGAAAGGCTTGCCCTGGCCCGGCCAGGGCGCTGGAGCCGTCGTCCGTTTTCGGATCTCCTTCACTGCCTACAGGAGAGGAAAAGGGCCCCGCTAACCCTGATGGTGAAACAGTTCTCTAACCCGGAAGGCATCCGTGTTTCCTTCTCCGTGCATTGCCCCGTTATGGGATGGCCTTGGATTTCAGGCACAGAGACTGAACTTGTGGGTCAATTGGGTTTCCGCCTCAGGAGAACATTTCTTTGGAGCCCGATGCTAATTAAAGCGCACCAGCATTCTGGGGAACCCAGTTGCCCTGCTTGCTCCTTCACAAAAACCTTTTCCAACAAACCTTTTGTCAGTCCCTCCCCAAAAGGAATCTCCGCTGGCCTGGTGGAAAAACAGGGGTTGGACATTATTTTCGGCCTTGGGACGGCTTCGCCTTTCCCCTCAAAGTGCCCTTGCCCAAACAATAACCCCTTTTAAAAACTCCACGGTGGCAATGAGACAGACCTTTTAAACCTTTACGCAGCTGTTCAAATACAACATCATTGTCAGGTTAAAAGCCCAGTGCCTCTAACTGCTCAGGCTGCAGGATTCCTGTGCCGGGGAAGCCTGAGGGTTAAACATTACATTACCTTTCCGCAGGGTTGTCTGTTTTTAAGCTTGTGGGGGAGGGGGTAGATGGATGAGAAAAGCAGAAAAAAAGACCAACTTTTGACTCTAGTCTGCTAAAGTCCTGTTCAAAACTAAGAACCACTGGCCAGCACCCGAAAATTGCATTCTCACAAGGCAGAGATTATCATCCCGGCCACGGCAAAGCGTGCCCAGGGCTGGACAATGTGCCCGCTGCACACGCTCTCTCTGCAGGCGCCCTGACGCCAGGCTGGCGCTTCAACCTAGTCCCTTTCCATTTGGCCAGGGCAGCTGCCAGGAGCTCGGTTGTCCATTTCTTCCCATCCCATGAAGAAGGCAAGACTGTTCGATCTAATTGGGAATTTTATGCCCATCAAATGCCCTTTCATAATCTTTATTTATACATGAAGAAAACAGCCAAGCTAAAAAAAAAAACAAAAAACCAGCAATTCCTCGAAGAGCGGATAGATCTGCCAGGACAGGCAGGATCTGCTTTCCGAATGTGGGGGCCTTTCTGTTTCAGCTCCCAGTGGGTTGGAGCTCAAAGTCACCTCCACACTAGATTTGGTTTTTAAAAGGTCTTCTTCACTCAAAGGAAAAAATGTATATCAAATATAATTTTAAATTTATTATCCCAAAATTCTTTTTTCAAATTTCTACCTTCAGAACAGCTTCCTGAGGCCAGAGACTGCCAATATTTTGAAGAGATTTTTATCATAAAAATTGAGCAAAATAGTTTTAATACAAGAGAATCACCTCGGCAAGGAAGGATGAAAAGTTTGCCTAAGATCCTAAGGCTAAGATGAAGCAATTGGAATGAAAAGGCAATGGCTTTCAAGGCCAGCCTTTATTTTGCTTACGAGTATTTAAGTAGCTGCATAGCCACTGTTCTCCATCATCTTTAGATCACTGGGAGCTGTTACCATTAATAATAAATCAATATTGTACCATAAAGGAGATAAATATCCATGTTTGTACCAAGACACCCTTCTCCCTGGCATAGCTCTTTCCAGAGAAAAATTAAAAGGGTCGCTTTATCAAGATATTAGCATTTGTAATCAAGAAGTGGTTTGCATCTGTGCTCTCCTGTCACAGGGGAGAAGAGCAGCAGCACTGGGCCTGAGTGAACTTGGGGGCTCCTCGGTTTGCCCTAAATTTGGGCCCTGAGTGGCCTCAGGGCCGCACCACTCTTTGGGGGCAGAGTTGATGAAGACAAATTTTAAAAGCTCCTTCTCCAAGACACCCCCAGGGTTGCACTGTGCACAGCCAAAATGAAAAGAAATCGGAGCAAGTAGAGAGGCTGGGGAAGCCACCACCAGCTCAATGAAGGATCTATGGAGATGTGTGCAAGGGCCGGCGGCGGGGAGCCTCTTTCCATAGCAGACACAAAAGACTCAGCACATTCTCCCTCCACTTCAAAATCTGAGACCTCAGCGACTCAAGATACATAACCACCCTCCCCGAGTCCCATACCCCTGAACGATCAGGAGGGGTCAGGTCTGCAGGCCTTAGAAGTCCTGGTCCAGTTCCCTGGCCTTTTTCAGGCCCATCTTGGGAGCTGCCAGGAGGAAAGGAAATGCAGAGCGATGAGCACCCATGCAGTCTTCAGGTGGCTGCCAGCCAAGGCCGAAGGGCCCCGCAAAGCCACATGCACCCCCGCTGGAGTCACCCAAAGTGGACCACAACGACATTTGAGGAGGAGGTGTTCTCACCCCTCCTGGACTGAGGCCCAGGTTAGGTCCTGAGAAATGTTGCTTCACAATAGCTAAGTTGGGCCCACAGTCTGACAGGCTGGAGCCGCGGGTGCTGCAGGGAATACCTATGCCTCTGACTGGTGCCTCTCCGGGGTGCTCACGGTGCCCCATCCACCCTGGAGCCCATGCCAGCTCCCAGGGGTGGACCCACAGCCTTTGGTCCAGGGCCTGGAGGGAGGAGACATTCAGCACAGCCAACCAGTCTGGGACTAATTCTGAGGGTTATATGCGCTTCACAATGAACTTCGGGTAAGAAGGGATAGCTACCCATCCTTAGAAACCCGCATCCTAGAGACTGCTCTTTTGGAACCTCCCTTTTGGCCTGTGGGTGGCAACACATGCTCTTCTCAATGTTAAGGGCTTTGCAAAGGGCAGGGATGGGGGGTTGAAAAGAACAGCATGAGGCAAGCAGAAGGCTTGGAGGGGTGACCAAGGGGGTTGTCAAATGCAAAGCCCGTTTGCTTCCAATGCATTACCCATTCCACAACGCCTAGAAGTATAAATGTTAAATGATACAATCTGCCGCTTCCCGGAGCCACATCAGTCCAGCCTGGCCCCGGCGTCCCAACTCTAATCCTTCCTGCCTGTGCCTCTAGGTCGCTGCCCGTAGCCCCTGGCACCAGACTTGACTTGGGTGGAAGCAAGACGTCTTAGTCCAGAACGACACTCCCTCAGTTGCGACGCGTCCTATTTTTTCTAGCACCACACCCAGCTATGTTGCCAGAGCCCTGATCTGTCTTAAACAAAAGACTTTTAATCATTCCAGAAGGTGGGAGAGCGCGCAAGGGGGACATGGTTTGGGGGAAGCGGTGGTCCTATCCTCATATTGCTCTCCTCACTCAAACCATCAAGAATATTGATATTCTCTAATCTGATTAACTCGAAATGGCATGACCTATTTCTAAATGCACATATTAATCTTTTAAAAATCTCTCCCGAACACCACCAGGTTATAACAAGGTACTTTTTGCAACAGCTTTATGTTTAAGTACACAACGATTAGGTGATCGTTTTTTCAGGTATCTGGATAGTTCCCGAATTTTCTTTGTCTTTATACAACTTCCCACACCTCATGGCTGCTTAGAACAAACAAACAGCAAACAAACACCTTAGCAGCCGCCTTTTTCTAAGGGGCTGGGATTGTCTATTAGAATCCATTGGATAGATATGGTACCGTGGCCTCTGCGCCAACCGCGGCTTCGGGAACGTGAGCACGCCCCCGTGTGGCTCTCCAAGGCCATGCAAACGGAAAATGGTATCTCTTGCCTAAGGTGGCGGACATACAAGCTTGCCACGTTTAGCCACAGTAAAAAGAAGGAGAAGGAGAAGAAGCAGCAGAAGAAGCAGAAGAAGAAAGAAAGAAAAAAAGAGAGAAAGAAAGAAAGGACATATGCTAAAGAAATAAACCAGTTTCAAGCAGCTTCTGGGAAGATCATACTACTATTACTACTAGGGCACTGACATTTTAACAGACACCCAAAATTCCAAACAAAGGAATCCCTTTCCAAACGAAATTACTCAACTGTAGGCTTTGTTTCTATTGCATTTTTCACTAAAGGTTGTGGGACGCTTTTGAAAACAATATATTTTCTTTTGTTCCATGTCATAGAAAGTGCAATAATTTATTTGACAAGGTGACAATTTAAAAAAATATATAACGAAAGTGTAAGTCTAAATAGAACTTCCTTTTTCAAATGCTTGCTTTTAAAACCGAGGCTCTTTATTAGAGCAAAAGGTACTGCTATCTATGACTCCCCCAAAAACTCTCCACCATTTCCTAGCTGTATTAACAACATGCTGGTAGACATTTTAATCTAACTAGTGTTTTTAAAAGAAGTCAATTGTTATTGAATTACACAAATGCTTGAAGGGAAATTAAGGTTATTGATCCTGAAATTAGGAATTTGCTTAGATTTATGGTGAGTCCCCATATGATTCTGTGTGGTCATAAATGTGTGTGGGGATCTGGGTGTGTGAGCATGTGTGTGTGTAAGTGGGTGGCGGATGAATATCACAGAAGGACCTTAAGGCGCCTAATTATTCAGAAAGGTTAAAGGTGATGACCTTGACATTTTGGAAGTTCAAAGGCATACACTTATGCACTTATGTTTTTCCTTTCCCCCAAAGCCTTGGCAATTAAAAAAATTTTGCATTGGAAGTGTATGCCTCTTTGGAAGAGGCATGTGGTGCTGTATATCTTATGGATTTTTTTTTTTTACTCTGGGCTTATGAGAAGTTAAGAGTCATAAGATTCACTTTACTCTTTTCAGAGAAATAGAATTTTTCCTCACTCCTACAGTTTATTGCAGATTGCGGAAATCTCTTTTGGGCCCACCAGAAGGTGTATAATATAACCCAATTAAGCTGTTTAGAACTTTGGCTTTTATGGTGTTGTCTAGACAGTTCAAGGTTTTGTAAACAGCCTGGCCTGGTCCTGCAGCACAAAGTGCAGTGTACCCCCAACACATTCTTTAACTTGAAGCGATAAATGTGGTGAGAACTGGGTCTGCAGCCCCATGCCCTATTCCAGGAAGGGGGCTTATCTTCCCTGCTCCAAATCTGCTGTGACACCAGCAAGCACCCCCAGACTGCTCTACCCATGGATAACTTCCTTTCAGCAAACTTTTGTTTTTCAGTGAGGCCTCTAATATTGGTTTCTTCTTTTCAGGGACTTTGGATCCTTGACATTTTAAGAGTGAATTTGCATTTTCTAATCAGTTTCTTAAAATCCCCCCCTCCACCAGAAATTCTAATTTCACTAGACTACTGTATGTGTTGGGAGGGGTGGTGCGGGGTGTTGCTTCTTATGTTCCTGCTGCCTCAGCCTCATCGTCTGGAGAAGGCAGCACCAGGGTCACATCCTCAATTCAGAGGTTCATCCCTCAAGTGATTTCTAAAACCAATGTAACGTAGAAGTGGGGGAGGGAAGCTCTTATTTTAGCGGAATTAAAAAGCATTTCATCTGATTTTCAGTTGCATGGGGGAGAAGATTCGGGTTGCTAAAATATCCTGAGCAGACACTAAACTTATTCAAAGAGGAAAATTCATACAGTATATTGAAGCTGTAACCTCCATTTTACTAGAAACCATTTATTCACACAAAAGACAGTGACTCATGCCTTGACACGACAGACCAAATGTACACATTTCCCAGAGTTTAAATAATCTGTATTCACCAAGGGAGAAAGACAGGGTCCCTTAAACTCAGAACAAAAGCAAGTGCCTTGCCGCCCAGGCCTAACTCTCTGCAGATCCCACAGCGTCCCCACCGGGACCTGGACAGGGAGGGAAAACAACAGCACATTGGCGGTAAAATTGTAAAGGGACATTTGCATTTACCATTTTCCCCTTATTAGGATCCGTTGGGCCAAGTCCCGGGCCTGGTCCGCAGGTAGCAGTGGTCGCTGGGAGGTCCCGAGTTGATCGTGAGAAGGAATGGTGGAGTTCCACAGAGAAGAGGCGTCATTAAACCCAAGGACACTGGGCCTGCCGGGGGCAGGCTGGTAGAGAGGAGAGTGAGTGAGCGGGGGTCGTGGGAGAGGGGTGCTTCCTGGAGCTCTCAAAATAAGGGATTTCCAGTGAAATACTGCAGACGGTCTCTGTTCAGTTTCTTTTCCTTCATCCTGCGATTCTGGAACCAGATTTTGACTTGCCGGTCAGTGAGGTTGAGCATCCGAGAGAGTTGGAGTCTTTTCTCTTTGTTTATGTACACGTTAAAGAAAAACTCGCGTTCCAGTTCTCGGATCTGGTACTTGGTGTAGGGACAGCGCTTTTTCCGGGACCGCTGGGGGGCCACTGCAAGGCAAAGAGACCAAGGGGTGAGAGAGGCCACTGCCTGCCAACCCCCGCCCACCCTCCCGCCTGCCCGCCCAGGCCTTCGCGAGGGCCAGGCCTCGGTCCTTTGGGGACGTCCCCTGCCGCTGTTGAAAGGCCCTGCCTGCGTCGTGGGGGATGATATATGGGCGGGCACAGGAGAGACTGCGGGCGTGGACCTGTGTTCACACCCGGACACACACACACACACACACACACACACAGCCTGGCACCTAGGTGGGGAAGCAGAGCACGAGGCAGCCTCTGAGCTGGAACTCGAAGGGAGAGAAAATTGAGCACGCGGGGGCATCTGCTTGACTCCAAGCAGGAGCGCGCGCCAGCCAGAGGCTTGGATAAAGTCCAGTTCAAGAATCAAACTCTCCTCACCCCACCCCAACCCTTAAAAAGGGAAGGCTCGGGTGTCCATACTCACAAATTGGCTTGAAAGCATCCCTCCCTCCCTCCATGGTCTCTAGCACATACATACACACGCACACACACAAACTGAGAAAAGCTCTCAGCAGCGATTAATGTCCTCCTCGAAGTCTACCTTAAGCCCACCTAAATTGGTTTCCTATCGTAAACACGCTTTACAACGGCCCGGGAAATCTTATAGGATGTATAAACCTCTTCGAACGCTTATAAAGTAGCACATAAAACGGCGCAAGCGGAGGGAGGCCCCCGCTGCCCCCCCGCGCCCCGCGGCCCCGGGCCCCGCCGCCCACCCCGCGCCCGGTGCCTACCTGTGCCGCTCTTCTCAGCCCCCGCCTCCCCCGGGGGCCCCTCGCCGTCACGCCCGCCGCCTTCTGCCGCCCCCTTCGGCTCCGAGGCGGGGGTCGCCTTGGCGCAGGGACTGTCCCCACCGCCACCTGCCCCGGTCTTGGGGTCTCCCTTGTCGGCAGCCCCCTCGGGTTGAGGCGGCGCGGGCGGCGGCGGGGGCTGCGGCCCGGCGAACGGGGGCCCGGGCGCGGCCTCGTAGAATTGGTCGAAGCCCTGCGGCAGGATGCCGTTGCGGCCCACGGCGCTGTAGAAGTTGGAGGCGGCACCCGCAGGGCCGTGGGGCGGCCCCGGCGCGGCGCACACGGGCTCCGGCGCCTTGAAGAGCACGTCCGGCCGGCGGCCCGCGGGCGGGAGCAGCTCGCGCTGCATGGCCGCCTCCTCCGCTGCCGCCGCCGCCGCCGCCGCGGCCGCTGCTGCCGCGTAGTAGGGAGCGTAGCCCCCCGCGCCGCCGCCGCCGCCGCCGCCCCCGCCGGGGCCGCCCCCGCCGCCGCCGCCCCCAGCGCCGCCGCCGCTGCCGCGATACGGCCACTTGGCGCGCTCCAAGCTGTAGTCGCGGAAGGCCACCTCGCGCACCGGCTGGACGTGCGGCGCTAGGTTGGAAGAGTAGGGGAAAGTCATCTGGCAGGACGACGGTTGCGACAGAAACGCTGGCTTGCTGGCGAAGTCCGACGGGGCCACATAGTAGGCGCAGCCGGGCAGGTACATGCTGGCTGCGCTCGGGCCGCACTCGTCAAAGTCATTCATGGCTCCGCGGCGTGCGCACCGGCGAGCCCCGGGCCGCTCCCCGCGCCGCCAACCTGAGCCATTGATTGCACAAGAGGCTTGGGCCAGGATCAACTAAGCAAAAATCCCCACCGGGCGCTGACGTGCAATTCATCTTGATTGATTCTGGTGGTAATTATGTCACGTGACGCCATGGAGAGAAATGTCCTTATATCTATATCAGTGCTCGCCAACACGCCCCGGGACGGCTCCTGGCGCCGAGACACGCGCGCTGGGGGCGGATCTGGCCTCGCTCTCCAGCCAGATCTCCCTGGGCGCCCCCTGACTAGGCTGCTCCGCAGACTGGGTCACCTGTGTGCTGCCGGTGGCTGCCACTGCTGGGTGCATCTGCCACCGCCCGGTTGGGCCGCCCGCCCGCGCCGCTTTAAGTACGCGGACCGAGGACGGAGGGGAGGAGGAGGGAGGGGGAGGAAGGAGGAGGAAGGGGGAGGAAGGGGGAAGGGAAAGAAGCCGGGAGCGGAGGGGGGAGTCCCGGCTCAGGGCACTGGGGACTAGGTGTGAGGGTGTGAGGTTCCCACTCTCCACACCCCTTCCTGCAGCCGCTCCCTCCCCCGCGACGCCGCCACCCTCTGTAGCTTGCTAGCTAGGAGCTTGTTGCTTCTCGTTCAAGGGGCGTGATTGAGCAGCTCTGGGGCGCAAGCAGCCCTGATTTACATATATCTCTGCCAGGCTCTTTCACCGCATAGTAAGTTGGCTCTCCTCACTCCTGACCCAAGGGACGTGAGTGCCAGCCTCGAAAAACCCACTCCAAAACCCCACCAGAAGCTCACCCGGGCTAAGGCCTCCGTGCCCACTCGGCCCTGTCGCCCTCTCTCCTCCTGTCTCCGTTCCTGCCTTTTTCGTCTCTCTGCAGCCTTCTCACTCTTTTTCCCTCCTGTCCTCTCTGTCTCACTCCCCTCTTGTTTCCGCCTTTGCTTCTTCCTTCCTTTTACTTTTCTTTTTCCTTTTCTCTCTCTGTCTCCTGGTACTCTTTCCTTTTCCCTAGCTGGGTGTCCGTCTCTGTCTCACTCCCTGTCGCCTCTCTGCATTTTTTTCTCTCCCAGTGCTAAAGCAAGGAGGAAGTCCAGCCATCAGAGACACCGTGTGGCCCCTCCAGAAGCTGGCCTGGGGCGGGGGTTGGGGTGGTCCTGATGAACAAAAGGATCCCGACTCCTTCCGTCAAGGCACCCAGCCTTCAGCTCTCCCCCAGCCAGAGACAAACCATCAGCACCTCTGCCCTTGGTCCTCTTTGCTTTCTGGCCAGGACTGGGACCAGCCCATCTCACATCCAGCCCCCTCCCTGCGTTCGGAGCCTCCCCAAGGCCTACACATCCGCCACGTCTCCCCCAGTCTCCTTCAGTGCCCTTGGGCCAGCACAGTTGCACAGTCACTGCACCACCCTCTCCGCAAGTCCTTTGCTTGGGGCGGGGGTGCGGTGTCTCTCAGCAGTTATTGCCTCCTTGCTTGAGTCCCTCTATGCCACTTGGCCCTGAGGACCCCCTGTCCACTCGCCCCAAGGCCTCACTTTCCTAGGTGGTCGGTCACTTTGTCCCTCTTCCCAAGCCTGGGGGTCCAGGCAAGGCCAGAACTCCCACCTCTGGAAGAGCCAGTGCTTTCCAAAGGTAACATCAGGCTGTCGGAAAGAACCTTCCCAAAACCCAAATTCCAGAATCCAGTATAGGAAGTTGCCCCTCTCCCCAGGATTCCTCTGCCCAAGCAACCAGAGCACTGGGTTCTGGGGCTCAGCCCTGTACCCAGAGCCAGCAGCTCAGGCTCGAAGCTGGCTCCCTCGCGGGCCCCCGCCACTGCAGTGCCCAAGAGGAGCTCTTGCCCAAGAGGTGGTGAGCTCCGCCAGCCACCTCGACAGACAGATAAGGTGGGCAATGGGAGCTCATATCTATTTTCTGGCCGATGTCCCCCTCTTCCTCTTTTTCTCCTCCCTTCCCCTTTTCCTTCCACTCTCCCCTCTCTCCCCTCTCTCCCCGCTCCTACCTCTGCTTCCCTCCGAATACAGCTCAAACTGGTCGGTGGCGACTGGAGGGTGAGGAATCTCCCCCGCCCCCACAACTGTCCATCCCTGTATGCACCCTCCTGGAATCTGGCACCGTCGCCCACATTCCGGCTTGTCCCCTTCTCCTCAGCCCAGACCTCCAACACAGTTATCTGCCTCCCCATCTCCATCCCTGGCCCGAGCCCCTTCCTTCGGGATCCTAGTCGACGCCCCCGGATCTCTCTCCTAAAATGGCTCCCGGGACACTGCACGCTGCCCTGCGGCAGCTCGGACCCGGGGCGGCCGCGCGGGGCCCCGCGCCGGGTCTTCCTGTGTCCAGGGCACGCGAAATTCTCTGTACGGGGTGGGGCGCAGGCATGCCGCTACCCCCAAAGTGGAGCCTGCTGAGCGCCTAAGAGGGAAATGGGGAGGACGAACCATTCAAGTTCAACGACATGGCGATGGCGGCTTCGGCTGGAGCCGCGCTTTGGCAGGGGAGGGTTCGCCATCTGCAGCAGCGGGCTGGTGTACGGGGAAAGGAGCCCGCGGGCCCCCCACTGCGCATTTACAAGGACCCCCGCCCCCACACCCAAGCCAGCGCTTTCGTTCTGGGCCAGGCACGCTTAGTCTTTTGACTCCAGCTCCGTCCTCGATCTTCACCCCAAACCCCAGGAAAGCGGCAACCTCCCAACGCTCTTGTCCCGCTCGAGAACCTACCGTGAAGACTCCGGCGCTGTGGCCTTGTCCTTTGCCTGCGGCCCCACTCGAAGCGCAGGGAGCGCACCGGACCCTCCCGGAACAGCCAGCAGCTCCGCGAGTGATAGCTTTCCGAGCAGCGCCCGGACGCGATGCGGCAATTTCGAGCCACCCAAGATAAGACACTAACTTGACCTTAACTTTGTCAGGGCGCCCCTGGTATCTGGAGAACGTGAACAGACACTGTCTGGCAGCTCTCGTAAAAGCTGACTGGGGAAGGGATTCTGAGTCATTTCATTTATTGCCACTACAGTTCTGCAAGAAAGCTTTTCCTCCCTGCCAAACTTTAATTATTTATGCTCGTTTAGGAAACGAAAGAAGAGGAGAAAAGCGGAGAAAACACCCAGAGCCAGTCCCTTCCTGCAGAGCCTTCGGAATGGGCTTCCTGAGTCAAGTGACTGGAGAACAACAACAACAACAACAAAAATATGTGGGGAGATCACCTTTGTCCAAGGAGATAGGATAGGCGCCTTGGCCCCCACCCCACCTCCCACTAAGGTGGGTGTCTGCAGCTGGGAGAGGCAGGGTGAAGGGGCAACCCCCCCCCCCCCACTATCACACATGAATATTTACAACGGTTCTGGATTTGTCCTCCACTCCAACCCCCACCCTGGCCTCCCGGAAGCCTCCCTAACCCGCCTCCCTTGGGGAGAGCCCCCAGGCCTTAAAAGCGCCTGGTAGGCCCTCTGAACTCGCAGCCGATTGAATGCCAGACGAAGCCGGTTTTTTCCTCGTTTAAAAACCTTTTTCTTGGTAAAGAGGCCTGTCTGGACTGCAGCATTTCGGAGAACGCATTTGTCTTTGTGCGAGGGAATGTTGAGCACTCCGATTTCAGCATCCTTTCACTCTGGCGTTTGTTTCTTATGGTGAATTTCGTCGTGGTTCCAAATCCCTGCCGGGATTTCGGCTAGGAAGGGAGAGAGGACACCGCTGCCTTTGTATTTGTGCGGATCAGAAAAGGGATAGATTTGAAAAACATTGCCAAAGCCATAAGAGATGGACAGGATTTTACACTTAGAATAATTTCAATCTCTTTGGGGAGTGGTCTCCACGAATATCTCTTCCCATCCTACATCCCAGGCTAAAGAGAAAGAACACGGTGATTTAATTGTATACAAATGAAAGACATGGCCTTGGTGTGTTGTCTCCGGTCCTGGATTTAAGTCTGGGTTTCCTAGACCGTTACCCAGCCCTCCCAACCTGAGGTCTGAGTTTGGCTTCAGCCTTTGTTTGGATGTTTTGAGACCCAGCTCTGGGTACCACGGTACCACCACCTCCCTGAGCCCCACAAGACCAGAAACATTTCTAAAGATAAGGCCTCCACAGCTTCTTGGTTTCTTTTTCCTCTGTTGTATTTTTTAAAAGGAGCTGTTTAAAAAATATTTTTAAAGTACACATCAAGTTCGCTTGAGGGAAGAGGATTTGGAGCCATTGAATACTCAGTATTAGAGATTTAGCAGTTTTGTGAATTGTCCCACTTACTAAAAGCTAGCGATTCTCTACTTTCCATCTCTGAGCCAGCTGGAGCTGGGGTCTGCAAGAGGACATTGAGCTTAGCAGGTCCTAGCTTCCCCAGCCCGAGCTAGAGTCTCTGAGGGCCCAGGGGTGCAGAGGCCACATTTCTCAAGAGAGTTTGCTGGGCTGCAGGCAGGGGTGTCAGTTTGGAGGTTTTCAACAGGACATAGCCCTTTCCAGAGAAGCCCATGGCACAGAGAGATGTTTGTATGAAAATCTGAGGAACCTCATATCTTGGCAGCACCCCCCCCCCACAACAAGCTTTCAAGTTTGAGAGTTTAGGCAAAATATAGAAGCCCCTGACTGCCATAAGCTGAGGCTTTGCTTAGTGTGTGAAACACACTGAAATCTGTCCGTGAATCCTCCTCTTCGGATATTTTTGTTCGGACACATTTTGTTCATAGGCTTTTATACACCATTTCCTGACTGACTTGGAAGACATTTTCTCATTTAATGGACAGTCAAGTCAGTACCTACAGTGAAACTACAATCAGAAAAGAAAAAAATTAATTTCATGGCCTGAAAAACATTAGCAGGGAATCCGAAACATTTTTGAAAAATCAACATCAGTCCCTTGACAGCTTCGCTGGGACCTGGATATTTATTTCCACTCAAAACATTTCTATGTGTCTGATATATACAAGCTATTGTTTTTGACACAATCAAAATAAAACAAAACATGCACAACAACTATTAGGTAGCAGAGAAAATGCAATTAGTCTAAACATCAACTAAGGTCAGTTGGGCTGAGGCTCAGGAAGTCCTTGTGAGGTACCCACTTTAGATCCAGGGCCTGGTCCTCCACTGAAAATAAATCATTGGACTTTGGGAAGGAATCTTGTACCCTTTGGCTGTTGTTCATATTGCTAGGAGTTGGGGGCGCTACTTCTCAGGAGATGGAAAAGAAGCAAGGATAGTAGGAATTTGAGGGGGGGAGGGACTTGGGTTCACTGAAGTTAAGGCAGGATACCCCAGCACACCTAGGACAACTCCATCTGGCATCCTGGAACCCCAATCTCCACAAAGCAAGCCTAGCAGGGCCCACCACCTTGCATGCTCCGCAAGGGCAGGCCAGAAATGGCCTCAAAAAGGGTACAGTGGTTGAGCCCCTGGTGGAGTTGGCAGGTGATGGAGAAGAAGAGGGGAACTTCCGCTCCTCTCTACTTGGTCAAGAGCAGCTAAGAGGGGCTGAGGATCTGAGGGGCTTCCTTTCTTGCCCACGCACTGCCTGGTGGAGATTTCACTTCTCCCTGCGGTGGCTCATTACTAGAATTCAAGAAAGAAAGACATGTTGACACCTTTACCCACCTTGACAGGAAAGCCATATTTACAGTCAGAATATAGGGCCCCCCTTGCTCACTCCCTTCTCCTGCCCCTTGACATTTTCCTCTTTTCTACTGCAGCCCAGCCTGAAAGCAGACTAGCAGCTTCTCATCAGAGCTCAGCTCTGGAGTCCAGTTACCCAGCACAGGGCTCTGGCTGAGGCATGTGGGAAGAGGTGAGAGAAGTAGGGGTTTTACCAGTCTTGGCTGGGAAGTGCAGTTTGCCATGGAACCCCAGCCTCCCTTGCCCATTCCTGGGAAGGAAGCATCCAGTCCATTTCGCCCAGCTGGAGGAGCCAGTCCACCTTGAACTCTGAGTTGTCTCCGAGTTTGTATGGCCACACTCCCTCCCCTTTCCTCCCAAGATCAGAAGGTCTAGGGTGGCTTTTGTCCTCTCAAACCAGCCAGGGCAGACAGAGGGTGGTGGTGATGGCACACTTTCCTTTCTCCAGCATCATGATTCTGGCTTTGCCATAAGGGGCGTTGGCTGCAAAGAGACACGATTGTGCCCACAGCCCTTTTCCACTTCACCCTGGAGCCCTTTCTAAATTCAGTTCCACTCTGAGTTCTAGTTAGGTGTCTGCTAAATGCAGAAAGAATGGGGAGAAGGAAAAAGGGAGACTAGGCAAAAGCGGAAATCTTAGTAAAAGGGAACTGGAGTGAGACCAGGTGTAAACGCTTTAGCCAAAAGCAAAGACAGGTGACCCCACGACCCCAGTGGAGAACCCTCCACGCCAAGGTTGTGCTGCAACTTCCACAGCCCCTTCCGGAAAAAGGGAAACCTAAAGGCATTACTGGCCAGGTCTCCAAATCTCCTACTGGCTTTTGGGGCCGCAGTCAGAGCAGGAGGGTACCTAGGATCAGCTGAGGAGTAGAAGGGAAAGCCCCAGTCCCAGATCTTCCTCTACGCCAGACTTGGGCTCAAAGAAGCAGAACCGGCCTCGGCCAGGCCAGGGATCAGTATAGCGCCAGCGCCTGCTCGCGCAGCACCACGCGCTTCTTCTTCATACGACGGTTCTGGAACCAGATTTTGACCTGCTGGTCGCTGAGGTTCAGCCTGTTGGACAATTCCTTGCGTTTCTGCCGGTTGATGAATTCGTTGAGGAGGAATTCATTCTCCAGCTCCGCAATCTGCTGCTTCGTGTAGGGTTTCCGCTTCTTGCGGGCCCTCCCGGGGGCCGCCCCCCACGGCAGGCCTGCAACACAGCCCCAACCCAAGTCAGCCCAGCCCGCTCCCTGTTGCCTGCCCACCCCCGGAGGCTCCCTCCCCCTACACACTGTACCCTGCATCCCACCTCCCATTCCGGCCCTGACTGGCCCGGGGAGCATGGCCACCGTTTACCGTCGGGCAGCGAAGGTCGCAGGCAAGAAGCGACGCCCGCTGCCTGCACTGTCATGTTCAAGTTGAGCGGGCCCTTGGCGTCGTCCTTGAAGCCGGCGGCGCAGGGGGTCCCCTCAAGCAGGGCCGCAGAGCCTGGCGCGGCACGGCCCACACCCGCGTAGTCGTACTTGGTCGATTTGAGACCAGCGGCCGCGGGGACCAGGCTAGACTCGGGGGCAAAGGGCGGCCGCGAACGGCCACGCTCCTCAGGCCCGGCGGCCACGTCGGGCGTATAAAACTTGGCCTGCTCTTCGGGTCTGTCCTTGGCGCCCAAGGGCTGCAGGCCAAGAGGCCCGGAGCCAGCCAGGTAGGGTTGCGAGAAGCTGCCGAAGGCGGTGGCACCGGCAGGCTGCGCTGGGGCGCAGGAGGCGGGCGTGGTGGCCCAGGGCAGCGCGCCGCGAGGGTATGAGATGGGGGGAAGTGCGGCCAACTGGCCTCCATTCGGCCGCAGGTTGGAGAAGTAGAAGGAGTCAGGCGACTGTAGATTCAGAAGCGAGCCCACATAGCCCGCTCTGTAGAGACTGCGCTCACACATCTCCAACAAAGGGCTTCGGCTGTGCTCGCAGCAGTATTTAGTTACAACCGGGAATAAGAGGACAGGCTCAGACGATTGGACGAAACTTTGCCTGCAGGTTCTTCAAAGCCGGTCATTTCAGCACCGCCTACATCCCCCCGACCCGTTTTCCCCCCCTTCAGGGTATTATGATAACACCCGCAATATTCGAGGGCGAAGGACAAGCCTGCCAGGCAGAGCCAAGGCACGTTGAGCTGAAGGTGAAACCTCTGCAAGTTTCCAGGCCCAGTGTCAGGAGCTGGGGACAACAGCCATAGGGTGCCTTTGCCCAAGTGTCCCTTGGGACACTTCTTGGTCTTGATTAGCCTTGCACTCCCGTTTTTCGCTGCTTACCTGGGCCAGGCTTGCTTCTACTAGCTTTAAGTTGCAGCTGAGGCCTTTCCAGTACGGAGTGAGTCTCAGTTTGTCCAAAGATCCCGTGGTCTGGTGGGGCCACCAGCTCTGTCCCTAGACCTGAGCAATGGTACTCTTAACCCATCCTTCCCAGTCCCATCTCTGTGGAGAGAGGTCTTCACAGGATATCTCACAGCGAAGACCCACGAACTGCCTGAGCCCTTGGTCCCAGGCTGCAGGCACAGTCCCAGAGGTTTACTGATTGAGAAGTGCATCACAAACTCTCCAGAGTTTGGTGCCTAGGAAGGAAGCTTCACACCACTCCTGGGTGCTTCTTCATGGCCAAGCCTTGTGCTCCTGGAGAGGCCTGGACCGGGCAGCTGGATTGGCCAAATGCTACATTCCTTTTATAGCCAGGAGTCACCTTGGCGACTACATCCTGCAAACCAGAAGTCCAAGGTGTTCATCCACTCTGTGGCAGGCAGAACAGGCCGAGCTTCTCCCCTCTCCCCCCACCCCCAACCTGGTGTGGAAGGAGAGAAGAGTCAGAGCCACCGGTCAGGAACAGCGGGGCACACCGAGGAAGAGGGCTGGCAGCATTCCTCCCTCATCGCCTCCGGGGCCGCGGGAGGCTGGCGGGTTCCGGGGTCTGGAGAACACGGAGGTGGGCGGGGCAGCGCTCTGTTGCCGGGAGCATTGTGGCAACCCCCACAGCAAGCCCTGGGTGTAGTCTAGCCAGAGGGCCAGGGGTCCTCCTGCGGTGCCTCGGGTCCCAAGACCCCCAGCGACCCGGTGGCTGGAGCCCGCCCCAGCCCGCAGCCTGCCTCGCGGTGCCCGAGCCAAGCTGGAATTGGTTAGACCGCCAGCTCCGGCACTGAGACCACACAGGCGCCGCCGGAGGGCAAAGCTGACCACCGCGCTGCGACTTTATTGTGTGAGTTATGGCGACCAATTGGGCGGCTCTGGGGAACGCAATCGGCCTCTTCCTCCCGCTCTAGGGCGGGGGTAGGGGGTGGGGTGGGCAAGTCCAGGGCTCTTCAAGACTCTGTCAGTTTCCTTAGGAACTCAGACGGAGACGCACGCCACTCCCCGTCCTTTCATGATGGGGAGGGGGTGGTAGACGCAAGCTGCTACCCCAGTTCCTAGGGACTTAGGAGACCTGGGCTCTCACTTTGGGAAACTCGCTTTGTTTTTAAGGAGCTACAGCTTCCCCAGGTCCGTACGCTCCAGCTCCATTGGTCTCTGCCGCCTCCCTCCCCTCCTGCCGTTTCAGTATATAGAGATTCTCCCGTATTCCCAAGTCTACTCCGGACCCTTAGGCAGTCGCACAGCTGCGGTTGGCCCCTGGGGACTAAAGATAGGAAGGGACTAAGTGAGAAACAGAAAAAGACTAGAACAAATTAGACTCCCTTCATTTCTCCCTGGCTCAGAATGGTGCCCAGTCACCACCTCATCTCTTGAGTTTATGATTTCCGAGGTCCAGCAGGCAAAGTTGTATGCGTGGAGCTGGGAGCTGGGGGCAGGGAACAAGAGAGGCAAGTGGTGGTGTGTGGGGCGAGGGTGGGGGGGGGCGGCGTGGAGGCTGGAGCCTCGGCGGGTAAACTGGAGAATGGGAAAGGAAACTTCGCCGCGGAGCTAAACCGCGAGCTCTGCCAATGCCGCCAACTGCCCAGGAGATGGCGAGCGAGCTCCACGCCTGACGTGGAGCAGCTACACGGTCAAGATCAACAGTGAAGGGCGACGCAGCCGGCCTGGGGTCTTCAGCCCCTGCGGTCACGGCCCGCTGCCAGGCGCGGCCGAGCGTCTCGGAAAGCCGGAGATCTGGCGACAAGACTGGCCGGGACTTCGAGGCCAGAGGGACTCGGCAGGGTGCCAGACGGGGGGTGGGGGGAAGCACGGAAGCGTCGCAGCCCCCCCCCCTTTGTCTGGCGGCGTGTCCCGGCTCCAAAGCCTCCTTCGCCTCTTGAATCACGAGCAAACACGCGAGCCTTGATTCTCCACCAGCGGCGCTCGAAACCTATCGGGTTTCGGAGGCGCTGTCCTTACGGGCTCTCAGTCTCCACGTGAAGGAAGAGGAGCTCCACTGGGAGCTGCTCCTCTGCCCGAAGCTCCCAGTGCATCGCGGCTTCCCGCGGGCCTCCTTTGCAACGCCTAGCCCACCGACCCGTTCCTCTCCTCCCCCCCTCGGAATATAAAAGGAATTCATATAAATAACAAAGTTCATCTGTTACTGATTTAGCCTTCAATTCAAATTCCACCGGGAGAGTGTTTGAGCGCAGTTTTAATCTTCAACCAACTTCCCATTTCTCTTAGGCAGAGGGAAACTGACAGGGAAACTACAGTTGAAAGAAAAACCTCGAGGCGATTCCCTCCATTCACTTACAGGAAACCTGGCAAATGGACCCGAGAAATGGGCCTCGGAGTTTGGAAGTTACAAAAAGGAAGGGGGGGGGGGCGACGGCGATGGGAAAACAAGGGAAAACAGGCCTATTTCGGTTGAAAGCACATCTTGTGAGAAAAACAGCAAATTTAGTAATTCTTCACAAAGTGGAAGGTCGGGACAGTATGGCCCCATTTTCTCCAGAGATTGAATCATGGTCACCTCTCTCTCTCTCTCTCTCTCTCTCTCTCTCTCTCCTCTCGTTTCTCCCCTCTGTGCGAATGTCTCTGTCTCTCGCTCATTATTAACACGGAGTTGACTGCCCCGCAATCAGTTGCAAGATATGAGAGAAATCAAGCAGGCCAGAGAAAACGAAAGTAGCTTCGAACCTGTGATCTCTCTTTCTCTGGCAGATACTAAAGGACCCCTCCCGCCAGAAGAGTTTACATATTGTGTGAGGTTTTAAACATTTGTATTAAGCTCACATATCAAAAAGTTAGCAACCACTAAATTAATTGATTGTGCCTAGGTGCTAACAACGAAGAGGCAACCTATTCCTAAACAGCCATTTCCCTGAGAGGCAAAACGAAAGTTCGTAGTGCCTAAAAATTGCGTCTAGAGGTTTAGGCTGTATAATTATGGTTTCAGCCTGCAACTGCTTTGTGCAGGGTGCCGGGAGAAGGCGATAAGGCATAAGTTGAAATGTTTCCTTTTTAATTGCCAAATATGGATATGTCTAATTTTAAGACCTTTCTAGAGTAGATATTTATTACAGCCTTTCTAGGAAGAAAACCTCCAAATGAGCACGTTTTTCTGTACCTGGGCACATACATATAGATTTTATAAATGAAATTGTTTGAATAAATTGGTAATATTGAAAGAGAAGTAAAATTTTATTGGAGATGTTTTTGAGGTGGTCTGGTAAAAATATCATTTTAGACACCACAAGTTATATCCTCATTTAGGGACATTACTATTTATGTTAAAGCCTTGGAAAAGTGGGGAGGAGTGGCAGAAATGGAGAGCCTAGAGGTTTCAGAGACCAGAAATAGTGTTGAGTTTTCTTTATATATAGGGAACAGCATAATGTTTCAGATAACAAGATTTTACAATAAATAAGAACAGTTTCTAGAGTCAACACAAGCTTGGGAGAGAAAACAAATGTATAGAGACTCAGAGGAAATAAAAGAGTTCTGTTTATTTGCATCTCCCTAGGAGTAAAAAGTGATTTTTAAATGCCTGAAGCACTGCTCACATATCCCAGCTCACAGACATTTCATCTACAAAAATAATCTCTCAGTTGTATAAATATGCAGCACTTTAAAAGTAGTTATCACTTTCAGAAACATTTTTTTTCTTCTTGGACCTTAGAGCTCCACAATTTTTGCATTTGTTAGGTGTTTTACAGCTTCAAGAAAGGCCCAATTCATTTGTTCTGACAGTCAAGTTCTTCACTGGGTTCTGGATAAAAGTTCCCACCCGTGTGGCCATGTGGCCATGGGTGGGAACTTTTTTAGGGGATGGAAGATATGGCCTCAATTTTAGTTCCACAGACTGGAGGCCAAGGAGAGGGGGTGGATTTATACCATTCACAATTGCAACCATTTAAGTATTTGCATCTAGAGCTGGGGTAATGAAGGCATCCATGAGGACACATTATTTTCAAATTAAAGATTGTAAAAGCACAAATCTACAAGGTATGTTAAACATATACAACAGCAAGTGAAAGACTCGAAGTCAGAAAGATTGTCTTCATTTCAATACCAGTACAAACCCTATTTAATAAGGTAGCTGCTTTTAAAGCCATAACAGTACCTCTAGCCTCCTGTTTTTAGCATTTCCAGTGACTCTTGAGTACTGCCTGCCCAGAGCTGTTTTCACTTGCCTCGGGGCAACTGCTGAGAGCTAATGATTCAATTACCTAATCACAGGATATGAATGACTGCAAATCGCTCTGTCTTAATGGATTATGAAGATAATCAGTGCTGGAAACAGGCATATAAAGTAACTAAAAAAATAAAACCCTAAAATGAAAATGAATGACATTTCTGAAATTCATGGGACAGGGGTATTCAAAAATACTTCAAGTCCTTTATACTGGCCTGGAGGGAGAAACAGAACACGGAAAACATCATAAAAATAAACCTAGAAAAGAAAAAAAATCAATAATAAACAAGTAAACAGAACTACAAAGTCAGGTGGGGTAGCAAAAAGTTTTAGAGCCAGATAAGGGGAAGAGAGAAAAACAATTCACAAAGTTTGCCATTACTGGCTGGGGGATGGGGAGAATTAAATACATATTCAAGTCTTTCCAAAGGTCTTTTGGAGACAACGGAAAGCATTTCAACAGCTCTGTGGCCAAGCTGGTCCACATCAAGAGACAGTATCTTTGAGCTTGGAGACAATTTTCTTATCTTTCACTCTTCGGTTCTGAAACCAAATGGTCACTTGTCTTTCAGATAGGTTTGTGGCGGCCGAGATCCGCCGCCTCTTGTCCTTGTTAATGAACTTGTTAATGGCATATTCGTTCTCCAGTTCTTTGAGCTGCAGTTTGGTGTAGGGCACCCTCTTCTTCCTCCCCCGACGGTAGACACACATGTCTGGCTGATTTAGAGCCACATCCCCTGGTATAAAAAACAGAATGGAAAAAATTAGACCAGAATATCCAGAGCACCCAGCTAGGGACTGTGTATGTATGTCTGGAGGGGCTACAGGGACTAAAGAAAACCAGGCTATTTACTAATTGTGTTATTATTATTTATACAGATATTATTTATGTTATTAAAGAAGGAGTATTTACACTTCAAAGTGAAGGCCTATTTGATGGATCATCATGGTTTCTCAAACCAGCATCTTAACAAGTCTGCAATTTTATGGCGTGGTTATTGAGAATGCTCATAAGGACAGTTTCTGCAACTACTGGTGGTATACATACAAACCATACACAGACTTTTCTAAAAGTACAGGCTGTTTGTTCAAGCTTTGATTTCTTGTATTCCTGTGTTTGAAATTTGTGAGCTTTAGTGGTTACTCTGGGGCATTCATGTCCTTGAAAAGTAGGGCCCAATTCTGTGACACCTCTTTGGGGAGGAGACCAAGGCCTGACTGAGCAAAGGGCATGCAAAGACCTTCAACTTTAGGAGAAAAACAGGATTGTGCCCGTACACAAGAAAAAAAGTGGTGAGGGAGGCAGTTTAAATCAAAGGAGGAATTTGCAGATTTCATTCTAACTGGAGGAACTGTTCCACAACCCTGGTTGGGCAAAGGAGGACTGGCGCCTACTCCCAAGTAGGGACATACACTGCAAGTCCTTTCTTTTCCTGCTTCCCTTTCCCGCTGTGCTGCCCGCTTTTCCTCCCAAAGTCCTTACCTGGAAAGGATGATTTCCAAAAGTGGGAGCCCTGTGGCTGGTCCTTGGCGCAGTACACCTGGCTGTTCCACCCGTTGGCCAGCGTCCAGGACTGGTAGCCCTCCATTGAGATGTACGCCTCGTGCCGAGGCTCCCCGGAGCCGAAGGTAGACACCATGTCGATATAGCCAGGCACGTGCTGGTAGGGGCTCGTGTAGCCCTGGTAGAAGGACACCTCTTTGGCTCGAGCGGGTACCTCATTTGCTGGTACACTGCTGCTTGCCAAGCCCGACACGTCCATGTACTTCTCCACCGGGAAGCCTCCCAGGGAGGAGTGCGGCGACGACTTGAGAGCATTTTGCTGTAAGCCCACACCGTGCGACATGCGGCAGCTATAGTAGCCGTTACCGAAGTGGTAGCCGTAGCCCAGAGCTGGGGCGCCCGGGGGCGCTGTAGCGGCCGTGCCCGGGGCAGGGCACTCTTTGGCGGAGGGAGCCTCCGGGCGCGCTGCGACCACAGCCGAAGATGACGACGATGAGGCGGAGCCCGCGCGCTCAGATGTCCCAGGGTATGCGAAACCCGAGGCGGCCGCTGCCGCCGCAGCTGCCGCCGCCGCCGCCGCCGCCGCACGCCCAGAGTGTGTCCCAGCGAACACTGGCGCCGAGAGGAAGCCGCGACACTGGCCGGGCGCTGCCGCAGCCACAGATGAGGAGGAGGAAGAGGAGGCCGGAGCCGCCCCGGCGGCCCCACCGTCCGTCCGCAGCCCGTCCATGTCCCAGCTCCCGGCGCGGCTCATGGCCCGGCCTGGCCGGGACCTGGCCCTGGCCCTGGCCCCGCGCAGGACACCATGGCGCAGCGCGCCTCCTCCCTCCTCTCCTTTCTCTCTGGTTCTCGCGCTCCCGCCCTCTTCCTCCCTCTCTCTCTCTCTCTCTCTCGCTCTCTCCCTCTCTCTCTCTCTCCCTCTCCCTCTTGCTCTCTCTCTTTCCCTCAGTAAGCCTCCCGCCTCCCGTCGGCCCGCCCGCCCTCCAACAGGTTAGCTCATCGTGGGACGTTTATAAAAACGAAGTTCAGGTTGGGAGGGGGCCTGGGCCAGTCGGGGGGCCGCCTCCCTCCCGGAGGGCTCCTGCTCCGGGCTGTACCATTGGCTGCACGGGGCCACGTGGGGGTGGGGGCGCGGGAGAGCCTGGCTCCCGGCCGGGGCCCCACTGGACCCACCCACCCTGGCCCCCACCCCTCCCCAGACCCTTGCGCAGCCCACCTTCCCTTCCCGCCCTCCCGGGGATCCTAGCGTTTGTGCCGCCGCCACCCCCACGAGCTGATTGCGCGACCAACCATCCTAGGCCCTGTTTGCGACTGAGGCGGGAGCTGAGGCCTGTGCCTTTACTCCGCCGAGGCTATTTTGCCACCTCTCCTCGGCTCCCTGAGCTGCACAACTAAATGAAGGCGAACGACAGAGATGGTCAGAATGTGAAAACAGACCAATTTATTATCCTGTTGCTTAATCGCTCGGATTAGCTAGCCTAGATCCCAAACCTGAGGGAGCTAATTTTCCCAACTTTGCTACGGGGGCAAAGGTATATCATGCATGTTATCCCAAGAGATTCTCCGAATTAAGAACAATTGCAGCAGACCCTGCTTATACACATACTGTCCGCCGGGAAAATGCTCACAAAGCGCCCTTGGGGCTAGGCTCAGAGACTTAACAAATAAGTCAAGCAGACGAAAAGACTCGGTGCGGGAACCTGACGATCTGTACCAGCGGGAAAAGTCCGATGCCTGATCTACACTATGCGCCCCTACAGTCGGGCCAGCCGGGAGCCGTCTCCCAAGCTGGGCTTCCCAGGCCTGGTACAGCATCCCCAAACGCAGAAGGGCTCAACTGAGGGATCCAGTCGAAAGCCACTCAGCCGCCGGAGCAAAAGTTATGCGCCTCGCCTGCAGCCGACAAGTCTCTTGCATTTTGGAGCCGCCACCCACCCCCTGTCCGTCACTCACACCAATTAATTGAAAACTTCACTTTCCCAAGGACCTTTGTTTCGCTTTCTTTTCCAAGCTGCCTACTACAGAGACCCGAGAGAGGCAAATTAAGAGGGGCGGGATTCCCCCCACCAAGCAAAGTTGGGGCTGGTGATAGCAGCCCAGAGCAACGAGGTCTGAACTGGAGGGGTTAGAGTGGGCTGCGGACAGCATGGCAAGGATGTCGAGGATCACAGCCCTGGCCCCTCTTCATTCCTTTGTGCCATTATATTCCTCAGCCACTGAACCCCAGTCCACCATCCACCATCTCATCCACTAACAGGGAGCTGGTGTGAGTCCTGTGGTAAATCTAGGGTTACACTTTAGGAATGACATTCAATTAAGTGAGGTTTCTGGAATGGGTGTAGGAGCCCTCAGAAAGAGCCCATTTGAATCTGTAGTATCAACTCCCCAGGCCAGATCCTCTCCAAGAAAATCACTCCCCTGAGTGATTGGTGAGGCCAGCTTGTCACCTTAACCTTGCTGTTCCTGGGCCCAAGATAGAATCTGGATAGGGCAGAATAAAAGAGCCTGGGCCTTTTACTGGGGCAGAGTAAAAGAGCCCTTCTGGGCCTGGCCTGGCATTGCAGGGTGGGCTGCTGGTGTTGGGAGTGTTGACACGCAAAACCCAGTAACCATAAAAGGCTCAAATAAAGGGGAAAGTTATGAGAGGGGTGCTGGAAAGGAAAAGCGGGAGAATGTGACCTTTTTGAAGTCCTAGACATGTTCATGATCAATTTGAGACAGGAGGACCCTAAACCTTTGCAGAAAATCATAGGGTATAGGAATTTGCTAATAAAAACAATTTTGGCTACTTGAGAGAAAGCAAAAGTTAGCAATGGAAGCTGCATTGGCATTAAACGACAATGACAATGACAACGACAACAAAATGCTAGCCAGTGCTAGATGACAGAGTTACTGACTTTTTGGAAGAGTATTACTGGATTTTATTTACGCAACACTTTGGTACCAAACCAATCATGGGATGCTACCCTGAAATGCTTTTGCTTTTCCCTTATCTCCTCTGTTTTCTCAGAGGGGGAAACATAGAGACACTTTGAAATTTTTTTCTGTGACCTCAAAAAACAAATTTGTTGAAATATTTCTAGGACATAATTGGAACCAATGAAATTTCAGTCTCTTAAAACTAAATATCCCTGTGACCTTGTGCCCTGGGACATCTGAATGATTTTCTATCTGATAAATACCCTTTAAAAACCCGATTATATGCTAAAAATGAAGAAAGTCAAATTGAGATAGGAAGGAAGAACTTGTCAAGTTTTGCTGTTTTTAGAAAGCCCTTCATTTTTGGTTTTATTATCTATGCAGCAAAGTAAGTTCTGCAGGACTAGAAGGAAAGTCTGAATTAATGCTCTGGTCAAAAGACACTTCTCAATGGTGGTTTTTCCTCCAATTGCCCTATGGGACTCTTAGAAGACTTGGGGTTTCTCTGCCTAAGTTTGTGACTGTTCAGAGACCAGGGAGACTTTGAACAATAAGGAATATTGCCTCTTGCTATAACCTGCTAGGGTACCTGCTTCCAGTGTAGCCCTAATTCCTGAGAGGGGGAATTCCCTGTAGGAAAAAGGCTCTGACAGGACCCTATGAGAACCCCTAAACCCAGCACCCCAGGTCAGCCGCTGCTATTGGATTATGGGGCTGTGGTTGAGTACCAGGCTAAGTCAGGGCTGCTCTTTTTATGAACCAATAAGACACATAGTTTACAAGCGGGGGTGGTAGTTAGGAAAGAATTTTGAGGCTGAATTTGCAGAAACATTTCATTTAGTTTGGACACCCTGTGTCTGAGCTGATTTCAGGTTTAAACCTAATAAGAATAATTTTCTTAAACTAGCCAGTAGCACAGACTATGTATGTGTGTGGGTATATTAGGTTTGGGCTTTAACAACAAAAATAGTCTTTGTTAAATGAAAATCTTTTACAGCCATTAATGTCTCCAACCACTGATGTGGTATTCAGTGAAACCAGTTTTGCCACCTTCCCTGATTTTGGTGAGAAACTCAGTATAGCCCTTCATTGTTCAAAGTTCCACTCTGACAGGGATAGAGTCAGATCAGCTCTGCCCTCTTCTTCCATAACTCACTCCTTTTCTTCCTTTCTCTCCACAAGCACCCTTTTGGGCAGCCAGTCATGTTCTGAAAGTCACATTCTCCTTTCCTCCTTGTAGATGGTCCTTCAAATTATGTTCTTTTCATGGGGTGGGCAATGGGTAGATGCAGGCTTTGATTTAGATGTATTGAAGAACATAAGTTCCTCTGCTTGCCAGGAAAGCAGTGACCTCAATTAACCACATAATGGGTGACCATTAGAGCCAGAACAACAATTACCAAGTCCTGTCAGGGCGGGGTCCTGGGGACTCCTTTGAAAATGTTATGCAGGACACCCTCCGAATGAACTTGTAAGAAGCCAAAACTGCGGTGTAGAAATAGAGTCTTAATTCCAAAGTAAAGTTTTAAATCCAGTCGATCTGGCTGGACAATGTTCTTAACCAAGTCTGTGCCCTGACAACTTTGGAGCTAATCTTCCGTCTGTAGACAATACCCAGTTTTACTCAGGCTGGAAATATGAAAAGGATTTGTAAAAAAATCAAACCAACAAACATAGGGTGAAGAAAGGGGTCTATAGCAAAAACCAGACAGTGGAATCCTGAGGTCTGAGACATGCTGTTTGGATTTAACAACAGTATTAGGCTTTATTAAGTGTAAATTGTTTGTAACAAAGAAAACCCTCTCCAAACCCGAAGCGTTATTTGGTGAAACTAAGTTTGCCTCCCACAAGGTGGCTGGCCCTTGTTGGGGATGGAAAGCACTCCTCCATTAATGGAGGGAATTAAACACAGCCAGCGTCTTCCCTCTCAGAGAAACGCTAATGTCACTGCGAATGGGGAGCTAGAGGGTGGGCCCAGAACTGGGGACCCTGGATACTTGTTGCTCTTTTCGCAAAACAAAAGCAGGGACTGCAAATAATTTTCTGTTGTTTTGTTCACATCTCAAGGTCCTGGGACTGCCCCCGGAATACACTTGTCTAGCAATATTGTTAACTGAAGTCCAGAAACTGCTCACTCGTTTGGCCCTTTGGGATGAAAGGGCATCTCTCTCTCCCTCTTTCTACACTCTCCCTCCTCCCGCTATTACGCAGAAGCCTCTGTCTCAACCGGGGAATCCGCCGGTGGACACCCGCAGAGCTAAGGAATAAAGGTTGGGGAAATGCCTAATCACCAAGGGGCGGGGGTGGGGTGGGATGCAGAGCGCTGGGTGAAAGGAAAAGGTGCAAGCGTTAGGGCTTAGTTTCCCGGATGAGCGGCGCGCAGTTCCCCAGGCCTGGCGCTAGATGTCCCTGCAAGTTTTCCTGTCGCGTCTCAGGGCGCACAAGCTTCCAAGCAGGCAGTGTGTCTGGGGAGCCCCCAAAGTTCATGGAGAAAGTACCCCTCCACCCTCCACCCAACACCCTTGGCCTTCCCTGGTGGGGTGCGGGATTGTAGAAGGAAGGGGAGGAGAAATAAAAGCATCCAGAGAGACCTGGGAGAGGCAGAGAACTGTGTACTGTGAAGCTGTCCAGCTAGGGGGTTGCAGCAAAAAATTGACACAGTAAGGAGTTTGGCTTGGAGTCCCCAAACCAGTGTCTTCCCTTATAAACCAAAATTTCCGAGCCATGGGGACCTCACTTCTAGTAAAGAAAATGTGCCCAGGGTTCACACCCGAGGCTGTAGCCATCCTGCTGTGCAAGCCCATCCAGCAGACCCAGGCCTTAGTGAGCATGTGTTCCCAAAGCAGGCCCACAAGATTTGGGCCGCGTTATCCAGGAGCCTTCCACGTGGAAGACAGGAGCCAGACCCCAGTGGACCAGGTGTTCCTCTCCTCCCCTTCTCTCTGGCAGCACCAACAAATTTTTATTA